ATACTATGTAGACAAGGGTTTTGAGAAGGAATACCGTGGCGCTGCACTGGAGGAGCTCGAGAAAACCATCGAGAACGACTATATTGAACACCTGCAGAGCAGCTGCTGGAAAGAAAAACAGCAAAGTAAGCAAGCAGGTTCTTTGTTTGGATGGGGAGTATAAACTGCTGGGCCAAAAAAATAATAATTATATTTTAATATTTAATTTAATATTTAATTAAATATTTATATTTAAATATTTAATATTTAATTAGACTGCCTTTAGCTTTGGTGATGGCCCACATTTGCTGTGGCATAAATTTCGATAAGCTTTTACAGTGTTAAGACATTTATTTCCATCCAGAGTTGCATTCATTTACCTCCCCCCCCAAAATCTTGGATTGATGATGGTAGAGTCAGACAACTATGTGGGCTTTCTTGAGCCATGCTTTCAAACCTTGAGCCTAACATTGGTATTACCATTTTGGAGTATACCTGTGCCATCAGGAAATGGGGGGCGGGGCAGGGGGGAGTCCATTGATTGGGGATAAGTGGTTTTCTTAAGGCTACACAGCTAAATAATTAATTAATTTATTTCTCTAATATTGTAGGGTCTTAACTTACAATATAAAAGCGCCTTGAGGCAACTGTTGTTGTGATTTAAAACTATATAAATCAAATTGAAAATGGGACTAAATTTCCATATCTGTGCGATGATTCAACAGCTGCAGAGATTTTTACTGGTTGAGGATTGTACCTGCTTCCCAGTTTCAGCCACACTCTCATGCTGTAGATAAAAGATTGACGTAGCTAATGCTAGCTAGCTTGGTGCATCTATAGACTGCGCGGATGCCTCGCAGAGACATAGAGTCCTGCTAATTAGTGCTGACATGTAAGATACATTTCACAGAGACAAAAACTAAGAGCAGGCTTAACAACATTCAAATCCATTGTTGTTGTTTTTGTCAGATGACTATTAAAATGATCCAACAGCAAAAACATGGTCAAGAGGGTTCAGGGCAGTGAATCAGATTAGCTTAGGTGATGCTGATCAGTCATACTTAGATGCTTGTGCCTGTACTTCCCTGTCACTAAAGCAGCCACACCCCTCAACATTCATAACTGAAAGCCTTTAGCAGGTGGTATAGAAATGAATCTCCTTTACAGTTGTTATAAAGAAAGTTTTTGTAGCCAGCCTCAAGTGACCATTTGAGGAACTGCAGTTTTTGGGTATTTTTTGGGTCCTGCTCTCGATCTTTAGTAGTGTTTCTGACTGCAGGATAAAACTAACTGTTTCCATCTATTTCTCTGTTTATGGTAAGCTACATTATCAGTCTGCTGCAGCTTCATATTTGTCATTCTGTTTCCTTTGCAGAATCAGACTTGGCAAACCTCGGACAGCTGTACCGAGACGACCGCTTAAAGCAGAAGGCGGAGACAATGAGGCTGGAAAACTGTGAGAAACTGCATCGATTGGTTGGGCGTCAGAGAGGAAAATAAGGACTGTCGGAGAGGAGAAAGTGTTTCTTTACAGACTTTACAATAATGTATTTTACCTAAGTGTGTAATTTATCCAATCTGGCCACTTTGTGAAGAAATCTCTTTGGGTACAGCACAGCCAGTGGGAGATTATGCCGCTGGGAACGATGTGCCTTCTCTCCTCGTGTCGATGGTAGAAAGTGAAGTTGCATGTTAGCTGCCGGCCCTAGCTGTGGTGGTAGCGGTGACAGGTGCGCAGTCACTGTGGAAGTGTGTACGACGTCTCAGAGCCTTTAAACTTTCTTATAGAAATGGCATGACATAAGGGGGCTCCCTTTGGGGTTACAAAGGCAGTTGTATGTTCACACATACATGTTTTATCTGGTTGGGTTTTGTAGTTCACCTGTATTTATTTTGGATGTTTCTGTGTCCTTGCTCAAATTTTAGGTGTATTTATTTAGTGGATGATAGAAGAAACATCCATTTTTCTTTCCTGTTAGAAATGAAGTACAGTGTACTGTAGTCTTTTATTTTTAGTCTGCAACATTTTATTTATGATTGAAACATAGACAAATCACTCATTTGGACCTCGAGCAATAGGAGGCACAGTAATATTTTACAGAATATGCTGTTTTCTGTTTGTGCTGCCAAAAAAAGGAGCTGCTTCCTACAGCAGAGCTTCAGGCTCCCTGCGTCAGCGCTTGCATAGGTGTTTATTGTGTTGGTCATTTAGAAATGGCATTTCAGCCGAAAGAAAAGGCAGTTCACAGTGTTTCTTGCTGTATATGGGGAACCTTCACTATAAGCAGTTTGTATGGTTTTATGGAGTTTAAATGGCTTGCAATACAGTTTTTTGTTTGCTTTCATAACTGCTAGCTCAGATTCTTCCAGAAAAATGGGTTTTCAGCTCAAATCTAGATATTTTATAAATCCAATACCCGTAATTTCTTCTGATCTTTTATAACAATAATGATAATTTAAAAATAAACGTAAAAAAAAAGAAAGAAAATGTTTCGAAAAACTTCATATATAAGAATTGAATGGCTATGATTAGACAGCCTAATCCGATAGTGGTAACTTCAGTCAGTAGTGGCTGGGAGTTTTTCAAAGAAGCAAGCATGTCTCTTTGTGCTAGCAGTCGTAGTCCTCCGATGCACTGCTGCCTCCCGGTGTCATTTTGTAAATAACGGAGACTGTTAAACTCCTTGGAGACTTTGTTTTCCACAACTAACTTGTGGGTATGATCATTTCATCCATACAGAAACCAAAATTGGGACTTTTACTTGCCATGGTCTGGTCAAATCACGTCATCACTAAGGGGATTGTAACTTATGGAGCCCTTTATTTATTTATTTATTTAAATAAATAAAAAAATTTTTTAATTAAAATGAAAAAGCTCAGCTCACACAAACCCTATCCAGACATTGATACTTGTTGCTGCGCACTAGGACTGCCAGACTGCCTTAGCTGTTGTCATACTTGTGAAATATTCAGGTTCACCTCAAGCACTTTTTAAGTTCATAGTGACTCCATATTGTTACTGTTGCATGCATCTTTGTGATTTTTTTCTTTTTTTTTTTAAATTAGTTGCACATTATTATTTTTGGCTAATACATCTTCATAACTGCTGAAATTATAAATGTAAACTGTCAGAATATATTCTGCTCCACACTGGAAGTCACAAACATGTAAATGACATTATATTTACTGTGATACACACGAGTCAGGGTTTGGTATTAATCAGTGCGGACATACCCCTTGAGTTAGAACTGCAAAGTTAAGCTTTCAGCCAAAAATACCACAAAATTAAAGAATAATCAGAAAATCTTCTTGGTTTCTGTCTGGTTTCTTTTTCACGGTGGCTCTTTGAATGCATCATTAGTTTGGTCACCTTGTTAAACTAGAAAATGATAGAGGGGAATAACGCATCCTAAATTTACCTCAAGCTCAGGTTAAGCTGCCATTTAAGAACCAGCTCTTAATTTCTAGCAAATAATCATGGATTTAAAAACTATATCACACAAAAAATATCAAACGGTGAGCTTCAGCTTCACTGTTTACTGGGTCTGAACCTAATTTGCGTTGTAGCCGTGATGCAAATTGTTCAAACTGGACTCAAAGTCTTCAGATGTTTTCACTTTTTTCAAATTATTTCATTGTAATTTAACTTTGAATTGCTGTATTTTTCCTCCATCATTCTTCACTCTAACCCTTATACAGAAGCATAAACAGTAAAAGGTCCCACAGTTCACTCCATGTCAGGATTAAAAACCAAGCCAGTGGATTCAAAGAATTCTATAATTTTTAGATAAAATTGTGGCGAGGCTTAAATAGTGACAAAAGTATAGAACTGTTTCTCGAGCTGTCACTTGTGAAATAGAAAAATTGTAGAAACTCTAAGATTCTTCCTGGAGTTCGCCCCACAGCCAAACAGAGAAACCCAGCAAGAAGGGCCTTCATCCAGGTCGTGACCGAGCGCCCAATGGTCAACAGTTTCAGACGTTATCTTCACAGATGGGAAAGCCAGAGTGGCTTCAGTCCACTGACTGTCCTTGAGCGGCTGAGCCAGAACCCAGATGTGACGCTCATGACACTGGTAGAGAGAGCTAGAGATGGCAGTTATCCAATCTGATAAAGCCTGAAAGGATTTGCCTGGAAAAATGGAATAACCTGCCTTTATCCAGGTGTGCAAAGTCTGTAGACTTGGCCAAACAGATAAAAAGCTTTTAAAGCTATCAACAAAACTTCTGCAGAGCACTGAGTAAAAGATCTAAAGGCTTTTGAAAATCAAATACTTGTGATTTACTTTTAGACAAATTTTGGGGGGAAAAAAATCTGGCATGCTTTTTACTTGGTTATGGGAAATTTATTGTATATTGATGGGTTTTTGTTTTTTTTAATCTTGAAAATTAAAAAAAAAGTGTGGAGTCTTAAAATCTTCTCAAAGCACTGTAAACACTTATCTAAGACAACTTGTTTGTTAAGCAGACCAAATGTACAAACTGAGAACGTCTCGTACTTTGAATTACATGAAAAACAAACATTTGTTTGCTTTTGCATATTTACAGGGAAGAGCGAGGACAGAGAGGCATCATGAGCTACTTAACCTGGAAATATTTTGGCTCGGGTTCTATAAAAGTTACAAGCTTTATTCATTGGGTCATTAATATTGAACATGATTGAAGAAAAGCAAGTGGGAACGCTGTGAAAAACGCTGCATCTTCGTCGGTGTGCACACAGGGTTTAGTATTAGAGTTCCTTGAAGCCAGTCCTGAAAAATACTAAAAGCTTTCAAAATCAATTACGGTGCATGAAACATTAGCCTCGCAACAAAAAGGGGGAATTTCACACTGACAAAAACAAAAACAAAAGAAAAAAGCCAACTGTTCTCACTGATTTGTGCGCACGTAGCTTGCATGAGAGTTTGTGATTGGCTCGAACAGTGACCGCTGTGATCGGTTTTGGGTTGGCACAGTGGAAACGTTTTGTGCAAATTCAAGTATAACGTAACAGCTTTTTTTTTTGCTTTTTTTTTTTTTTTACAGACTTTAAAGTAAACAACAGTTTAGAAATGTAACACTTAATCAAAAGCACTGAGTATGTAGTAGAGTAAGCATGTAGGTACTGTTTCACCAAAGTGTCACATTGATAAAATAAATCCAACACAAACATTACAGTAAAAGGATATCAAAGTCTTAAAATTAGATCTTTAAAATCTGTTTTACACCTGCAGTGAAAACGCTTCTGTTTGAAATCAACTTGCCCCTCTGGCCAGACTTTTGGCCTTCTGGACGCTAATCTGGGGATCAACTTCAAGCCCAGTTAATTCAATATTCAGCCCAACTGTATAATAGGAGCATTTTTTAAAACCTCTCTACATCCCCATGAACTTCAGAGCAGGTTACGTCTGAGTGATGTGCAGCTATATCCATGAAAGGTCTGACATGGTCTTTCAGAATGCTCCCACTCTAATCTGGGATTATACTTTATGTAATCCACGACTGTATGGCTGTCTCAGAACAAATTAGCATCTCCACACTGCAGTCTATCCTTTTAATCTAGAGTGCAAGCAAAGGTTACACTGCACCATACGCAGAGCCGCAATCTGTGCAACTGAGAGACAATGAGATCAGTCTTTTCACTTTATCTCAGGGACACCATACTGATACAATATCATACTGATGGTTTCATTTCTTCATTTTGAGGTCAGCTTCTATGGCACTACGGCGCCCTCTGGTGCCTCCATCCTGCAGTGGAAGTGGGGGAAAAAACGTTTAGTCTGAGCTTTAAGAGATTAAATGAAGTATTTTAATAAAACCTTCTTTGTTTGTTTGTCTTCTTTGTTTGAATATATGTAACTGCAGTTTTAAAGATAGTAAAGAGGGTACTTACAAAAAGAGAAAGAAGGAAGGCAGGGGAAGACATGGACACAGTGTCCTGTAAGAGGAACATGACAGATAAGAGCTGCAACTCAGTAGTGTGTTGAAAATCTCAAACAGGAGCAAAATAATACAAAGAGAGAGACAACACAGTACATTCAGCTAGAGGAAAACTGGAGACAAGCTTTAAAAACACACATTAACTGCTATAACACTAGTACTACATTTACTATGTTTTGTTGCTGCCCTGCCATTACATTACAGGACGATGCCACATGTTTAGCTCAGGATCTTTATACCATGTAAGCTACAGATATACAGAATACTGTTGTCAAGCCACTTTTCGAGGTACTGCAGGACATTTCAGTCATCTCCTACCTTTCAGTGATTTAGAGGTTCCCATTAACATCAGTATGCTATGACCCATCATTATTTAACTCTTTAAACTTTCCTATCTTCAAATGGGTTATCTGTAATCAGAATATCTAAAGAAACAGAAAAAGACATTCTGCCAGACTAGATGGAGGAAAAATACTTTTTTTTCACCAAATACTTTGGGTGTAAGTAACATTGAAAGTCAATGTTAAAAATGAAAAAATATGTATTTTATATAGTATGGTCTGTAGCATAAGTGTTTTAAAATCATTATTGGGTTAGCAGTTCTTTATGCAGTGCTTTTGTCACGGAAACATCTTTTATAAATCAAACTAAAGCTGATTGAACAGTAGCTTCAATTCATTAGACCTAATATCGAGCAGTCTGCTTTCTTATTAAACACTCATTAAATGCTTTGGATAAACTATAAGTACATGAAGGCTTCAGACAATAACTTGAGGTTACTCTATTCCGTAACCTCTGTTCTCTGATAACATGAGTGAGGTAAGATAAGCTCACCTCTTCCTCGCTTCGTGCAAGGAGGGGTATCTGGTGAGACACCTCACTCATGTTATCAAAGATATGCAGACTCCCATATTGCCAGATAAGCCCATCTGAACGACTGACTGCCAACTTAGGAGGTCTCGTGGGGTCATCTCTAGCCCACACTTAACACAGTCAAACGTCAAAGGTGAAGCCCAGCTCGCTGCACTTATCTCCTCTATAGAGACACTCCTAAAAAGGGCCCAAGAGGTTGCTGTGCTGGAATAAGCCAATTGGATTGCCTCAGCATCTAGGCACTCCTGTTCAGGGGAGGAGAAAGGAGGAGGGCAAAAAGCTTCCAGCTCCAATGGGGTGCATTGGAGATAAGGATTTTGGGGCACAAAGGCCGGATTTGGCCTGAGCGTGACTCTAGAGTTATCCCTCGTGAATCGGGTGCACTGTTTGTGTATTAACAGTGCATGAATATAGCTGATATGCTTCGCAGATGCGAGAGCCAGGAGCAATGCAGTCTTCAAAGACAGGATTTTTATTTCCACCTGGCTTAGTGGTCTCAAATGGTGGCTGTGAAACTGCCCCCAGCATCAGGGATAAATCCCATGTGGGGACGAGAGGTTTAGAAACCGGGTGGAGTCGTTGTGCCCCTGTCATAAAACAGCGGACTAGCGGGTGATGGCTCACTGGGCCATCCACGAAGCCTACATGGCAGGCTGAAATGGCTGCTAGATATACTTTAATTGTGGAAAAGGCCTTTCCTTTATCTAACAGTTGCTGGAGAAAGGAGAGAATTGTTGTCACAGAGCACTGAAAGTAGAGAGTGTGAGACTTTCCACACCACTCCTCAAATAATCTCCACTTGTTCTCATACAATGATCTTGTGGAGGGGGCTCTAGCATTCTGAATAGTGGCTATAACACCCTGGGTGAGTCCTCCCATACTCAGATTCAACCTCTCACAGGCCAAGCCCACGGGGTGAGGGTGAAAAAAAATCTCCCCCCTGGCCTGGGAGACTAGGTCTCGTCACAGAGGAGAGGCCAAGGTTCACTCCACAAGAGGGGCATAATCTCCGCTAACCAATGGGACCATCGTCCACCTTGGGGCGATCAATATTATTGTTAGCCCCCTCTCTCACTCTGGTTAAGAGTGGGAGAAATTAAGGCCAACGGAGGGAACGCATAAAGCAGAACATGTGGCCAATTGTGAGCTAATGCATCTACCCCTAGCGCAGCCTCCTGGTCCCTCAGGGAGAAATACAGTGGACACTGAGCATTCTCCCTCGAGGCAAACAGGTCGACCTGTGACTGGCCAAAGCAGGTCCAGATATGGGTCACCACCTGTGGGTGCAGGGTCCAGTCCCCGTACTGCGGGTTTCCCCTGGACATTAAATCTGCTCCCAAGTTCAGAGCTCCTGGAATGTGAGCAGCTCTCAGTGACAACAGATTGATGCTGCTACACATGATCAGTTTGCGAGCAAGCATGTGCAAAGGACGGGACTGTAACCCGCCCTCTGTCAATGTACGCCACAACAGTGGTGTTGTCTGTTCTGATCAGAACATGGTGATTTCTTAACAGTGGAAGGAAGTGTCTCAGTGCTAGAAATGCTGCTAGCAATTGTGGCCAGTTTATGTGAACACCCCTCTGTCGTGAGTCCCAGTTGCCGCTCACTGCTCTGCCCTCATGAGTGGCACACTAGCCCGTGAGACTCGCGTCCGTGGTCACCACCTTTCTGGCTGTGAAAGCCCCAGTGACACCCCCAAAGTGAGAAATGTGGGATTTCTCCAACAGTGGAGTGCTGCAGCGCAATCTGCTGTCACTCTGATATGGTGGTGGGTATGGTGCTTTCGATTCAGTCTCCGTGATGCAACCCATTGCTCAAACTCCCTTATATGCAGTCTGCCTACTGGAATGACTGCCAGTGAAGACACCATTAATCCCAGCATCTGCAGGCATCTTCTGAATGGGAGATATCTTCCCACCTGAAAAATGCCGGCATGTCATAGCATTTTTTTGACTGTAATCACCGAGAGACACGCTCTGTGCGAGGTGGAGTTTAGAGGTATTCCTATGAAAGAGATGGCCTGAGCTGGCTGCAGGACACTCTTTTCATAGTTTATGGTGAAACCCAGAGCCATCAGGTGATCCACTGTCAACCTGGTGTGCTCTCTTCCCATTATTTCTGACTCTGATAGCAGCAGCCAATCGTCTATGTATGTTGCTATGCGGATGCCCCGCCTCTTCAGTGGGGCTATGGCTGCCTCTGTGCATTTCACAAATACCCAAGGGCTCAGTGAGAGACCAAACGGCAGGACCTGGTACTGGTACATTCTGCCCTGAAACGCAAATCACAGAAAGTTTCTGTGAGGCGGGTAAATAGGTATGTGAAAATATGCGTCCTTCAGGTCTATTGATGTAAACTAATCACCTGGGCGAACTACATGCAGCAGAGTGGTGGTTGTCAACATCCTGAATTTGTATGACCTCAGATGCTGATTCAGAGCCCGTAGGTCCAGTATCGGACGCAGTCCCCCTCCATTCTTGGGCACGAGAAAATATTTTGAGTAAAAGCCGCATTGGCTCTGCTCCTGCGGTATTTCTCGTTCTGTTCCCTTTGATAGCAAGGTAGATATTTCTTCTTGCAGAATCCTGGCTGATTCGCCTTTTGCAAGAGAGAAAATCCCTCTGTGAAATCAGGGAGGGGTGGTTGCAAATGGTAGCTTCGCTCTAATGTCCTCACAATCCATTCTGGCGTAGCGAGAGCTCGCCATCTTTCTATTCTTGCTGACAGCGACCCCAAAGTCAGGCACTCCACAGTAGACGGGGCTTTGGCTCTCTCCTGTGGTGGAAACTGGTCCTGTGGGCCAGACCCGACTGCGCATACGCAGGCGGACCTGCGCTTGACCAGTGTTCATGGGGCCGGACACCACTGAGGAAATCGGCCCCGGTGGTGTCTAGGGTTGTGAGGGCATTATGTTTTTCAACATATCTGTTTGACTCAGCTGAACAGTGTCTCGTCGTCTCTTTGTTGGAATGCGCTCTGTGGGATCCAACTCGAGTCCCAAGCGCTGAAAGATGGCGGCAGAATACTTCTCCGAACGGTCTCCGGAACTGAGCCCTGAAGTGAACTTGGAGGCCGGGCTGGTCCCGCTCAGATCTTCGCGTGGGGGATGTTAGACAGTCCTTCTTCTGGGGTCAGCGGGGGAGCTGGCCCCTCCCTTTCTTCCCTCCCCATCCTCAGCTGCCTCCCTATTCCCGCTCTACCACACCCACCCACACACGCAGGGCTTGGGGTGCAGGTATGTCACCAGGGTGCAGGGGAGGCACTCCCCCTCTGTCCCCTTCTGGCCGCCTGTGCCTCAATTTTATTCTGCAACCTAGACATCCACATTACTCACACTCTCACATAACACATACATATAGGGCCTTGGGGGTGGGCACGTTTTACAGCATCCAGAGGATGGTCGGTGTACTCCAACCCACCTCTGGCGCTGGTGCCCTACCCTCAATTTTAAATGCATTTAGACACTAAGGGTTTTCGGGAGGAGCCGTGCTGCTCTCTGAGAGGAAGCTAGTACCATGCTCTCCTGAGTTTTAAATGCACTTTAGAACAGCACACAGCAACACTACATATGAGCGGGCGTAGGGAGGTTTGAGGTCTTCACTCACCCCGGTTCTGTTAGCCGTCAGGGCTGGGGGGCTGGGAGGAGGTGCTGGCCGTCAGATGGGGTCTGGGATGCGGGGCCTCCCTGCTACTGCAGATAAGGAGGTGGTCCGCTTGCCTCCACCCCAGAGAGAAGGGTTACATCTCCCCTCACCACACTCCCTGCCGGTGGCTGATGCCCTCAGACGTTGGTGTGTTGGTGGTCCTTGTCGTCTGGGGCTGGGCGCTCATGTATGTACCGGCTCACTCCTGGTGGCCGATTGGCGGGGCCTGGCGCCTGTGGCCCGGCTGGGCCCTTCCGGGGGGTGGGATGCCCTCAGGCCTCTGGGCCTGAAGCTCGGTCCTCTCTGGCACAGCTGGCTGCCGGCAGAGCCCGCGGGCACGCCACTGCAACCCCCTCTGGCCTCTGCTCCGTAGCTGCTGGGTGACCTCTCGTTTGGGGCTCTACTCAGCTCTTCCCAGGAGGGTGGCACGGTTCCCCCCCTTTTGGTGGTCCTCCTCGGGTCCTTGTACTCTGGGGCCTCTGGATATCTGGGGCCTGGATCTCCTCCATACCTGCTTCATACCCTGGTGGACGGGGCTATGGCTCCCCACACTCCCTAGCAGATCGTTACATGGAGAAACCTTTGGAATACAAGCATGCTGATCCACACAGGTGTGCACACAGGTGTACACACGGTGTTCACAGACGCGGACTACACCTTTCTTGGCTGCTGCCTCAAAGCACATTGTGCGCTGTCTATCTTGCGTGCTGCACAATATCGTTTAATATTTAGTATCTACTGTTATCTACTGCTAGCTAGTTTATTGTGATGGTGCTGTATTTATTATGTTGCTCTTTTTTTTGTTTGCTTTCTCTTCTGTTTTTTTTTCTCCATACAGGTGATCCAGGTGTTTTGTTTGTTTTTCTTTCTTTCTTCCCCCCTTTCTCACGGTCTCTTCTCCCCTCTGTTTTTCTTTCTCTCCCTCTCTTTCTTTCATTCTTTCTCCCTGTCCTATCCCCCAGCCATGTCGGTCCCATTTGTAGCAACCGAAAATAAAATAAATTCATAATTATAATAAAGGTCAATCAAATGGACCAATATGGCAAGGCCATGATGATCCACTTGGTAAAATAAATCCGCTTGGCATCTTTCTTGGCCTTAAGACAACAATTCTGATGGCTAAAGATCCAAATGGGACACAAAAAAAGGAAAAGAAAAAAAAAAGACAGTCCTCCTTCTTGCGGTCCGACTGCTTGGCTGGTGGTGGGGCACCCTGAGCAGTGGGTCTTAGGGTTCTGCGATCCTAGGGGACCCTGGACCGCGACCTGCGGGGCTGGGTGGCGAGGGATTTTAAACGTCGGCACGCCGGGTGGACGGCTGGGGATCTGAGCAAACCTCCGGCAACTGGGTGGAGACGGGGGCACAGCCTGGGTCTTCCTAGTGAGACACAGCTGCAGGGTCTCTCCCTCTTTCTTTTTCTCCTCGCACCGTCTTTGTATGGTGGCAACGGCAGTCCCAAAAAGGCCAGCGAGGTCGATGCTTTCATCCAGAATGTCACATTTTTCTCTGTCCAAAAGCCCCGCCAAGTTCAGCCATCTTGCCCTCTCCTGCAGGATGATGATGCTGAGAGCTCTGCCCGCCGCTTGTACTGCTGCTCTAGTGAGGTGGAGACACTGGTCCGTAACGATGCCCAGCTCTTCCCACAGCTCGCTAGCATCGGGCTTCGCAGCAGCCTGGTCCTGGAGCTCCGTCGAGTAGGCTAGCAGGAGCGATGAGGCGTTCGGGGAAAAGCGGCAGTACCTGCTTAGTAGTGCGCTTTGCTCTGGGGAGCCCTTTACCCTCGTATCGTGAGGTGGAGGTCTCCGTTGTCACGTTGGGCCATGGGACTGCCAGCTTTCCAGCTGCCCGTTTTGCAACATCAAATAGCTCCATGACACGGGACTGTGTGCCGGTGTTATCACAATCGATCCCTTGAGTCACAGAATTCCGACCAGAGGGGGCAAAGAAAACGTCGTCATCCTCACCCGAGATGAGATGTTCCAACGGTCCCTCAGAGGATTTGCTGAGTAGCTCGTCATTAGCGAGTACAGTGTTCACATGAACCCGGTGTGGAAATAGCCGCTTGGGCGTGTTGCAGCCCGGGGCACATCACAGAAGCGTCATGTGTATCTGAGCCTGAGATTTTGCAACCGCAGGGGAAAATTCTGAAGAAGCGAGAAGAGGAAATTGAATGACGGGTGACGCTGTGTCACACCCTTTTACCCGGTCTTTAAGTCTGACGTCATTAGCCGTGCCTGGGCCCAAACTCTGCTGCAGGTCCCTAAGTCAAATGATCACTCCAGCATTACTGAGAGTTGAAAAACTGTCTAAATTCATTCATCTGTAATAAAATGATTAGTACGGATACTCTACCAGGTGTAACAATTAAGTTTAACATCCAGGCATCCATGAAAACAGAATTTATTAAATTTAACGGAGTTAGAGGTTAGCAGGAAGTTAGCTCACTAGTTTCCATCTAAATATAACATACCATGTTCTGACTGAGGGATTTCTGAAACAAATTAAGATGTACAGCTCTGCTATCACTTCTGACATAAATGAAGACAGGAAACTAAACAGCAGTGATGTTTGTAGGGTTACCGAAGTTTGGCTAGCTGGTATATAATGATGTGCTGCGTGATCGCTAGCGACACAGCTATGTTAGCATAATATAAACAGTGAAGCTGGAGGATGTTATTGTTACTCATTAACAGGCAGGGCAGCATAGCTGGTGACTTTTTTCCATTCGATAAAAGTTAACATGAGGGTTCCTGAAGGTTAGGGGCAAATGCAGTTGCATAGCAGGATCCTGTAAACGGATCAAACTTCAGTCAGGAGAAAAACTGAGATAATCCATCCACAATACAAGGTTAGTCATTAAAATACTACTGCATGGGCTGAGCTGTAGTTACATGTAAAGTTTTAAAAACTGAGCTTTAAAATGATTAGTGGTAATAAAAACCGAGAGAGGCCAACAGTGATCACTGACTGTTTTTAGGGGCTTGTTGAGATTAAATAGAACAAGATACAAAGCATTAAAACATGTTAAAAATACTGCAGCCTTATTAAACGCAGAGTAGTTTGGGCCTGGACGCAGGGTTCATCACGTCATCACTTAAAAGACTGGATAGGGAGGAGGGTGGCCCCTCCCAGACGCAAGCGTCACGACTGCCAGCCAATGCTGGCTGGAGTAATGACATGCTGAGAGAGCGTCGCCCATAGTGAGACACCGAAACGAATGTTTGAAGGAGAACAACCTGATTTTCATAGCATACGAAGCCAATGGCTACCTGAGAAGAACTGATTTAAAATCAAACGTCATGCTTTGGAAAATGGCCATCAAATAGTTTGGCATCACTTTCTTCTACCTTTGTTGTCTCACCCTTTTCTCTTCTTCTGTACTCTGCTTTTGTCAAAACTCTAGTGAAGCACCTTGTCAGTAGAGTCCTGTTTGCGCGTGCTCTCACGGCCTCTCAGGCTCTTGGCGCTGATACCAGATTCTGACGTCTCCATGATGAGCTGGGTAGCTAGAAACTGTTGGATCTGCTCCAGGACGTCACGCTGCATCTCCAGAGCCATGTGGTACACGTCGTGGTCCAGGCTGTTGTACATGACTGCGTTCTGAAACATCAGCATGATGTCCCTCTGGAACTCGGCGGTGGTCCTTATCAGACCGTTTTCGATGTTCTTCTTTATGGTTGCCAGGTCCATGGGCCTGGAGAACAAGAAGCGAAGACAGTGCTGTCTGAGATGTTTTTCCTCTAAAGCTCCAGTAAAGTGATACAAAAATATTCTTTGCTTACCTGTGCACAATACTGTGGTATCCAGGCGCAATCTCTTCTGTTACTGGCTGAAGGAAGACATTTGCATACCTACAACAGGTTTACACGACGCGTTACAGAAAAATATCGGAGACTGTGCATTTAGTGTTAAAGTTATGAATCAGATTCTGACCTGTGATTGGCTGCTGCTCGCCACACAAGCATAATGGCTTTCTTCCAGATTTTGTGAGCCTGTAGAGCTTCCAGATCCTCACTGCACACAGAACTGCATGTTGAAGGTCAAAAAAGGAAGTTGTGTGAATGCAGAAACTAATCTGCTGCAAAGTCAGTATTCTTACATCATCAGCACCATCTAGAGCAGGCGTCTCAAACTCGTCACCCCTATTTGCAGCCTGTGTATTGACTGATGTGTACACTTATGTCTGCATTTTTATTTTGTTAAATACAAACAAAGTTATAGCAGAAGTGTTGCCACGGTCTCGCCAGAAAGAGAGTACCAATTTGCTTATTTGGTAGTTCAATGAAAGGCTTCAGTGAGAAAAAAAATCATTCGCATTTGCAGTTTTTTCTTGTTATACAATATTTGACATTTTAAAAAACAAACAAAACACCACATTTTCAGAAATATTTGTGGGTGTTTTCTTGTTTGTTTGTTTTGTACTACTTGAACACTAAAGTGGTCCTCCAATGAGATGATAGTGCCAGCAGTGGCCCACAGCTCATTTAAGTTTGAGACCCCTGATCTAGAGTATAAATGCATTTCACTTACAACTGCGACGAAGCTGGGCTGCTGGGGATGGAGTCTGCAGTTGTGTGGAGCTGCAGTGAAGAGGAAGCCGTATGGAGGCTGTATCCATCCTCACTCTCACTAGCTGCCGGTTCTAGCTCAGTTTCGCCGTCTGGCTCTGATAGGAATTCTTCCACCCCATCTCCCACTTCTTCTCCACACACCTCTGGCCCATTAACTTTGTTTTGCAGGTTAGTCCCCGAGGCCTTCTCTCCTCCCCCAATAGTTATTGCGTCCTCCCTCTTCGTCTCCTGCAAAAATGTATAAAAGCACAGACAGATTCAGACAAAACTGAAAGTGCCGGGTTACTGTGGAGCACACTGCAAATTTTAGTACAGCAATTACAAGCATCATGCTCGCTTTGTCCTCATACAGTGCTATACCTTTGGATGCCTTTCTGTCAGTGGGTTATCTTCTAATACCGAGTCTGTCAAGATAGTAGAAATGAATAATAAGGTTTGCAAAATGTATAGTCTGATGCAAACTGCATGTTACGTGGCAAGGCAGTACAAATGCTTAAGCATGGATGTTCGTACCTCCGTGGATTTTTTCAGGGATTTGCTGTGCCCACTTCTCACGTTCACATTTTCTGGATGACATTTGGGTTTTTGAGTGAACCGCCTCTCCGGTCTCTCTCACTGCTGCAGCCTGTGGAGGCGTTCCACTGCGGTAGTGCTCCAAAATCTTTGAGTCGCATCCAGATGAGGAAGAGGGAGGAATGCTCCTCAGTCCCACAGGAAATCCTGCAAGATGGTTATCTTGACTGTTGCAAAAAGAAGAGAGTGAAGCTTCCGTCCTCTCCTCCAAGCTACAGTGAAGAGATGAAGACTGTACAGCCCCAGTGGGCACTGTGGGATTGTGTGGCTCATGAGGCTGGAAAGGCCCAGAATCCCAGGCAGCAGACAGAGCGTGGCCATTTTCTTCACAAAGGGACAGAGCAGCCTCAACTGCAGCTGCATCCAAAGCATCAGCAGCTTCATCAGCCTACAAAAAGAAGCATACAATGAATGCTCATATTGTAAAAAATAAATAAATAAATAAAAATCCAAACAGGTCTCATAAATTATTTAATGTAACCTAAACAGTAAGGTTTGTTGACTTTTAGAACCTTCTCTTCAATGATGGCGATGATGTCCCCCACTGTCTTCAGGTCCAGCTCATGACACAGTGACACAGTCACATCGTCCTCACTGAGCTCTGACACCTTATCTTCTACCATAGAAGAGACAGGCTGGCATCCAGGGGCCACAGATGGCACCATCACATTTACCTCTGCATGAATGCAACAACTGATTTACTATCTGTTTAATATTTCGACACCATGAATCTAAATTCTTATTTGGTATAGCATTATTACATCTTTGCTGGTTTAGAGCAGGTGGCCAAGAACAGATCTGATCAACAGGTCACAATTAAATCCTCTGTATACAATGCAAAGTTTGTGATATTAAGAATGTGAGGGTGTTGGATCAGAAAGTGGACAGACCTGCACTTGCTGAGATGTTTGATTGAGCAGGAACAGGAGTGGTGGCAGAGAGAGGAACACTGGAGGCAGAATCTACACTGACCATAAAACCTAATGGAGGGGAAAACTGGGCGGGGCCTGCTTCCAGGAGACGGGATAACATCGGGGCACCTGTCATGCAAGTATTCACGCATGCATTAACACATGAAGTGCAGAACTCTGACAAAGCACCTCAGGCTATCAGATGGTCAGAGTATTAGCAAACATTTGCAGCAATGGCATCACCAGATAGCACCCATGCATTCAGAGTTCAAGAGTAAAACTAACAATTATAAAACATGTTCAATGAGCTAAAGATAAGAAGACCTATGGGACGCTTTTTCCTGTGTCAAAGGGGGTTCTACTGAATGCTTTTTTTACTGGTATGGTAATCTGTTGCTTTGTGAAACATTTCTGTTTATCGAAATCCAAAAAGTAAGATTTGCTTTTGTAACAAAACATTTTAACAGAGATCAACAGTGATCAAACACAGCATCTGTACCTGCTGCCTGAGAGAGAGGCTGACAAGGTGGAGCCAGCTGCAAGTCATGTGCTCCTGACACATTACCTGTGGACACGTCACCATCTCCAATCTGAGATAAAGATGCATACACAAATCAAACACGTCTAAAACATGAAGCAGTGCTGTTTAATAATAAATCTGTTACTCATTAACAGGCAGGGCAGCATAGCTGGTGTTTTTTTTATCCCATCAGTGGTGTCTGATCAATACTGGATTTTAAGGCCAGTGCCAAAAAAGAGAGAAGGCAAAATGGTTTCTTCTTCAAGTCCAGGATATGTGAAGTGAATTTGATATATACAGTGATTTTAAACAGAATCCAAATTTAAACGATAACAGAGAACTGTAAGGAGACAGACTGGATAGCCAAATTATTAGACACCCTCTAAAGCAGCGGTCCCCAACCCCCGGGCCTCAGACCGGTACCAGTCCGTGAGTCGTTTGGTACCGGGCCGCGAGAGTTGAGGCTCAGGTGTGAAATGTATAGTTTTCAGGGTTTTTAATCGGTTTTCAGGGTTCTTTTTTATCGTTTACTTGGTTTTTCTTGGTCTTTTCACGTGTGTTATGAATAAATTTTCTTTTTATCGTTTACCGGTACCGGTACTAGTTTTATTTTGTTGTATTTATCCGCGACACCTTAAAGGCCGGTCCATGAAAATATTGTCGGGGATAAACCGGTCCGTGGCGCAAAAAAGGTTGGGGACCGCTGCTCTAAAGCACAGGAATTCTTTACGTGATCATATAAAGGTAGACTGCCCTGCAGTGTTGTACAAGTTAATTACTGGCATATATATTAAAGCCCTTCAACAAACCAATCTGGAATTTGTGGCCAATATACTGCCTTTCTTCAGTAACTCTGACAGGAGGGGAGATGGTGGTGGCGTGGCTTTCTGACACAGTAACTTCTTTTGGGTGGGGTCCTCTAGCAGGGACCCGTGGCTGTCATCATTACTAGAAGGCTCAGCAAATGTCATTAGCCTGGCTGTTCCAGAAGCCTAGAGACAGACAGAGGGAAACATGACATTTTATTAGGATTTACAGTTGTAGTTGTTATCAGTTCTCTAATATGTTTTCTTTTTTGTCTCTGAAGGGAACGGTCAAACGTATTAGACTCATTCCCAAAATAAAAACAGTCATTTTCTATGCCTTACATCCCATATAGCACTCCTGGTAAGTTACACCTAAAATTTTTTTTTTTAGGTATTATGAGCCCGAATTTACCAAATCTAAATTAGTGGCACACAAGAAACACATTACATTACATCTACTAGGTACATACTGGACATATAATGAAGGACGTTATATCTGCTGAGTGTTGTGGTGAAATAGATAGTTTAAATTTGTGACTATTTAGCGATTTTTCTTAATAGCACACTTTGTCACACTTTGTTTAAAAGGGATTTTAAAATTCTAGTATGATGATAAAATAGATGGAATGTTTTGTAAATTAGCCAATTAAGTCACAATGACAAATCAAATGTCAATTAGGTGGTTAATGAGGAGAAATCGGTCCGTGGGGGAAAAAGACGCATTTAGCAAGTTTGCAAAGTGTTAACTGGCAGGAGCTAACCTGGTGCTACAGTCGTGATTATTGTAGAAGACCTGGATGCTAAAACTACATCTACATTGGAAATGATTTGCTCCTCTTGCATCATTTTGAAGCTGACGGCTGGACGCCTGCAGACATTCCTAGATCCGGCTGCCTTGGTAACCCTCTAATCTACAGATATCGACAGGATTATTAGCCCACCAATGAAAATATATTAGTATTAGTAAATAAGTATTTCCCAATTGCTGTTACACCTGGAAAAGAGTTTTTAGGACTTTTTAAGAATAAAACACCCACGTTTTATTACATTACTTTACTTTAACACAGAAACAAAATGATTTCATGAAAACAGAAACTACCAGGGTTAAAATTATTAGCTCCCCTGATGCTAACGGTCAATTGTGTATCCTTTTTGCTAGATAACAGCCTGCAGTCAGCTGTTGTAGTTTTCAGCAAGTCTCGCATGCGTCTCCTGAGCAATCTCAGCTCAATTTTCTTTGGTGAATCTCTCAAGATCCTTCAGATTTGATGCTCTCCAGGCATGGACCTTGGTCTTCAGTTCACCCCACAGATTTCCAATAGGATTCAAGACAGGGCTTCGACATGCCAGTTGTTCAGCATGTTCGCTTTGGTCTTCTGGAGGTAGTTCTTCAGAAGAATTGTTTTAGGTTGTGTTGGAAAGCAAAGCAACGATCCAGACTCGGTTTTGTTGCTGGAGGTTTTCTTTCATAATCTTCACATATCCTTCTTCCTTCATGATTCCTTCCACCTTGACAAGATTTTCAGCTCCAGATGCACTGAAGTCTCCACACAGACGGTGTTCTTTGGCTTGTATGCTTCTCCCTTCTTTTTCCAAACATAAGCAACATCTCTGTGGCCAAAGAGCTCTACTTTCATCTCATCTGACCAAAGAAACGGGTTCTCCAGGTTGCCCTTAGCATACTTCAGTCTGGCCTGAAGGTGTCTCTTTTGCAGAAGTTTTCTTAGTCTGCAGCCTCACAGTCCATTCCTATGCAGCGTTCTGGTGGTCGTCTTCTTTGAGACTACAATTTCCAACTTCCAAACTTTTTGCAGTTGTTCTAAGGTCTTTAGACACGTCACTGACTAGTTTTCTTTCCCTAGTCTTTGAAATCTTTCGCTTCTACCTCTGCTAGGCTTGTTCGGTACTGTGTTGCTCTATTTGAATTTCTTGATGATCCCTCTCATTTCAGTTCTCGACACTTGGAAAGGCTGTGATAACTTGGTATATACATCTGCTTTGGAAGCAACAACAATTCTTTTTCCCAAGTCTAAACTGTTTTGGGGTTTTTTTGGCATGATGTTCTCTCCAGTAACAGCTCAAACCCTTGCTGAAGTTTTTATAGTGTGTGTTAATTAGAAGATAACGCTCAGTTTTAACTTCATTTTACAAACCTTTAGCACAAATCTGAAGCACATCAAAGTCTGTTACGCATCAGTGGTTTGCACTATGGCTCAATATGAAAGTTTAATAATACTGAATCTGATAACTGTTGTGTTTTCTGAAATAATTTTTTTATTGTTTCTATATCATTGCTTCTATCTAACATTCACACACATTTATACTCTGATAGATGCACTGGAGAGCAACCTGGATCGACCTGAAAATTTTGACTAAAACTTGAAATTTTATTAATGCTGCTATCACAGCTAATTACTGAAGCTTGAAAGAGCTTTTGTAATTTGCATTCTAACTAGCCATGTGTTCATTTTGGCTACGCTGTTGGTGCCTGGACTGCAGCTTTGGAACGATTGATTGAGCAGCCGCGCTAGCACTAACAGACAAGGTGCAATGCTAAGCTGATGGCCTCTGACATTTCCTGTGAAGGAAAAAGGTACTTGAATGTGGATTACATTCCTTCTATTAAGCATATTTGACACTTCCTGTCTGTGTCTGCCAAAGGGTCTGTTACTGCTGCAATGTTCAGGATGTTATAAACTAATTAAGGATAACACAAAGACACCTAAGCAGCCTGTCACTCAAGGCTATTGAATCTGAGCTCTCTGGAAGCAAATGACTTCAATCAATGGTATTAGTGATTAAGACAGACCTTCAGTATTTTGCATTCTAACTAGCCATGTGTTCATTTTGGCTATGATGTTAGTGCCTGGTTTTAAGATTTATTTTAGTCTGATGAAAGCTGCAATTTTTACAGACTTTATATGTGGAGAGTGAATTGAAAATAAAATAGAATACTAAAGTTTATTTGTAGTCTACAACCCAATCATGATCAAATGATAATGCCAGGGGTAAAAATAATTTACCAATTATGTTTTTTCTTATTCCCCCTAAAAGAACATGACAGAAACCAAAAATATTTATAGAATCATTACACCATTATTAAATACTAATAAACACTTTTACATGTCTGAAAACGAGGCAGGATAAGTGAAATGTCAGGCATTGTCATAAGTAACTCTGAGTCTTCAGAGACTTACATTCTTTGTAGATGTAAGATCCAGTGTCAAGCACTCGAGTTGGTCACCTGGGGAGAACTCCTGGCTTGGGGAGCTACAGCCTGAGGGCGAATGCATGGTGACACTGGGTATCCGCTTGGGTGTGTTCTTTGCCACCTGTCTGGCTGAAAGAGGGACGGGCAGCATAGAGAGCCTTTTCTTGTGAGTCATACAAAAGCAAAGCTTTTCAAAACAATGCTCTCTACACAGGCTGTCCAATTGGCTCAACCTGAGTATGAAAAATGCTGACATCTCTTTTGACAGGTGATCACCTTGAAATGAAGGATATTTTCTTTGTTTATTCCCATGTTTTCTAGTGCCAACAGCAGTTTAAAGTTTCTGGTCAAACAGTTCCTGCAGAGTGCAGCACTTCTAAAATACCTAATCAAGTCTTGATGAGCTTTCTGTAAGACCATTCTTAACCCAGTTTAATTGTCAGACACATCTCAGTTTTTCATATTTTCCTTAAAAGAATCCAGACTTTCTTCTAATTTATAAAAGTTTTCTCGAGCAATATCATCAGTTTAATAAATTTCAAAGTTTTTCTTTGGACATCACCTGCTTTTTCTCTCATTTTCAGTACCTGACCAATTTTAGACAACTTTTACTTTGTTTGTTTGTTGACCCACTTAAAACTGACCAATAAATCATGAAAGCCAAATTATCCCCATTTCTTTAGTTTAAAAAACTCCAAATAAAATATACTTTTTTGTCATTTGCCTTTATTTGATAGTGGAGACAGACAGGGCCACAGGTCGGATTCGAAACATAGCCACTGCCTGCTGGCCGGCCGCCTGCTCACCCACGGAGCTAAGCTGGCAACCAGATAATAGTTTGAGGCACAGGCATAAAATTGTACTTTTGAACTAAACAGGGGAGCTGTTATGAAGAATAAAGGTGGTATTTCCAAGTATTGACTTTCAAGCTTGTTAGAAGTGCACAAACCGTATTTTTCCCATGTCTCTGCTGCATGTTTCAATAAATCACTTCACCTTTTTCCCATTTTCTTAGCAAAACATATAGAAATGAGGGTTGGCTCATGACTTTTGCACAGAAGTATATGTAACTTGTATCACAATGTCTGTTATATGAAGAATCTCTTCTGGTTTCAGTGGCACTAAGCACAAATATATCTAAGAAGTTACTTTTCATGTATATTACTAGCAGGCTGACTTAGCTACACAAAGTTATCTCAGTTTAATAATCATAATCTCATTGTTTTTTTATTTTCATTATTTATGGATGACCTGTGTAATTACTGAAATATAATTCTTTATGGATGTGTTCCTCAAAAAAGACCCCTGAAATTGAAAGAAATACCTTGATAAGCAGCATCTGTGTTTTTTCTTTTCATCTCTGCTTCCTCCTCCTCCAGTTTCTTCTTCCTAACAGATGCACAACAAAAGATCATTTCCTTTGTTGTTACAAAGAGAGTCCAATGAGTCCAATGTTTAAGGTTTGCAGGAGAAAAAGACGTGCATGACTGTACAAACAGGGTTGATAGATTTGTTGCTTCTTACAGCAGAATTTCCTCCCATAGCTCTTTCAGTTTGGAATCCAGATGTCCTGCTTGAATCAGTTCAGCCTCTCTCTTCAGCTTCCTATGAAAACAGCAGTATGTCAGCTCATCTCACTGACGCAGTTTGAGGTGTGTGTCTTTTTTAGACGAATAATGTGTTCATGCTGGTTACCTGTGCTTCTCCTGCGTTTCTTTTATCAGCTTCTTTAGTTCCTCGATCCTCTCAGCCGTCAGTCTGCGAACTATCACATCCTCCACTGTCTCCACCACCTCACCTTTCTCGCCGCGCTTCCGCCTGAAGGTAACAAAGGCATCAGCTCGTAACGCTGCATATCCTCTAGATGCATTCATCAAACGGGGTAAAGCTACACAAGCATGTTTGAAGTTGAAGTCACTTATGTGCTCACTTTGGGGCCTCTGTCGCTTCCAGGAGCTCTGAGTATTTGGAGGCACAGTGCTGTGAAGATCCAAAAGAGTATCAAGAACAACTTCACTCAAATAGAGTGCGTGAAACCTACTGCAGAGATCATGGATTAAGTTTTTAATGTTGTGAAAGCAGCCCTGCGATAGTCTGACAACCTGTACAGGGTGTTCTCTGCTTTTCACCCTGTGATAAGGTGCTCTGGTCATACCTTTTGAGAGAACCAGTCAGGTGGTCGCCCAGGTTCTGCAAATGGTTTTATGGCACGACTGACCGATACCCTGATGAAAAAAGCATAAGACATCCCAAGATAAATACAGTTCTAAAGATTATTAGACTTAAACAATGTTCTATTTATGCAATGGTTTATTATCTTTTTATTTCAGGAACAAAATTATATTAAATCTATTTTTTTTTTTCATTTATAATTACTCTTTTATTTGTTACTTCATGCAAACCTGGTACTAAATTAAAGCCAGCCAGCACCGGGCTACATCATGTATGCCAGTGTAACAGATAAAGAATGACATGACTAACCATGGTTAAGTCATCCTATTTGTATGTCACTGTGTACTGTAACAGGAAAGCAGACCAGCAACCCTTTTAAGTACTCAGGCACAGGAATACTAACAGAACCACCCTAAGTGACAACATCTTATCTTAAAACCTAATCATAAGCGAAAGTTAGTTGTGTAACTAACAACATCTAATGTGCCAGATTATGACTCACACTATTGAGCACATAATACAGAATCGTTGAAACCAGCTGAAAGAGGCATGCATTACCAGTTCTGGTCCCCACTCTTCATGACAGATGTGGCCAAACACAGCTTCTCCCTCACTGACCATGGTTCTGTTGGTCCAATGACAAGCAGCTTGTGTTCTGCAGACGTGGACGAAACATAACATATACTTTATGCAGTATATTTTTAATACAGACTGTGTTCTGCTGGACGTCTCCGGCCTGGATCTTTTTTTCTTCTTCTTTTTTTTTTACCATTATGATCGAGCTAACCACCAGTACCGGCACTTCAAGCATGCAACTGCACACACAAAGAGAGTGTCTTTGATATAACTGATAGCAAACGGCAGCCACCACCAGTGTAAATAGAGCCGTCAACTCGTGATGACAACCAATAATCCGTGCAGGCTGCCACGCAGGGAGCGAAGAGAAGTTAGAAGCGATAAGATCAAAGTACGACACACACAAACACACACACGCTAACGGGTAGCATGTCATGACATTTGCTATTTTCTAACGTTACTCACTTCCAGCCCCGTTTGCCATCTTCCTGTCATCCCAACATCCCGTACATCTTGGTAGATAGAAACCCGGCGATTAACAACGCTGGCGATATGCGAAGGCGATACTCATAGGCTAACATCAATGGATGTTAGGCTGGATGTGGAGGCTCTCAAAATTTTTCTCACTAGCTAGCACGCTGAATCACCGCTGTTGCCCGTTAGTCTCAGTCTGGTATGCCAAAGCTTTTGGTAATTTAAGGATTAACCAGCTTGCTAGAATGCAAAGACTGCGTCTGTAAAAGAGTCAAAAAACGGTCTAATTACGTTAGAAAGAGTTTATGCTACCAAGCGACAGGCAGCCAGACGAAGAAAAAATTTTAGCTTACTGTAGCCATAAACCTTATTTCTCATTCTAGCTAGCAGCGAAGTGTTCGTACACGCCCACACCCACCACAGTAATAATAATGTACCACCCTGCAGGCGGCTGAGTTTTCATAATTAAGCAGGATAGCTTGTTTTTTATGTAAAGATGGAACTTAACTTGTGTCAGTAGAAAGATAATTATATGTATAAATGTCAGTCCAGCACTTCTTTTTTCCACATAACTGGGTAAAAGCACTAAGCACAAACAACAAGTTTAGTACACAAGTTGTTTGCCACACAACTAGCTAGGTTCACATGTAGCATGCTGCGCAGATGTGCTACTACTACTAAAAATAATAATATTAAATTCTCTATTAATTTGTTATCAGTTTCATGTACCTTAAAATAACATTAGACTTCAAAAATATTTGTGCCAAAAATTAAATTTAATGGAATCCAGTCAAATAAAATCTATTTGTTTTGTGTACATTCAATCCTTTCCAAGCATGTTTTCCCATATTATTAATTATTTGAACAAATACATTTTAATTGGATATATCTCATTTGCATTATACTCAAAATTGCCAAGAATCGTTTTTTGAGTGTACTTTAATGAACAAACACGCACAGTCAATAAAATAAAATAAAAATAAAGTTTAGCAATAAAAATAATGCTAAGCTATATGATTTCCAAAAAGCTCTCTGAGTTGAAATGTTGAAATTTACGCTCTTTATGCTGTCTCCTATTGAATAAGGACTACATTAACAGCTACACACAGTAGAAAATAATATCAGAACTTGACACTTGTACTAAACCAGTGGTTCCCAAACGTTTTTCGCTAGGCCCCCCTTTGTTTTACAAGAAAAATGTTCGCCCCCCTCCCCCGCGCGCACACACGCGCACACGCACAAATACATCCTCCAACCACACACACCCATATTTTGTTCCATTGCGATTTATTTTACTCCTCAAACATTTAGTAAACAATTAAGCAAATACAAGTAAACTGCAATAAATTACAGGTAGTAAGAAAATAAACTACTAACTCTTTTATGCTCTTTTATGCCATTCATCTCACTTCATACACACCTACACGGGTAATTTTGAAAACACAACTGTTTCTGTGCGTTTGGACCTTTCCTCCACACGTAAACGGAGTTTGGAATCACCGAAAACGGAGATTTTTTAAAACTCCTTTTTTGCGTTTATGTGTGGACAGGAATACCGAGTTCGTCAAGGTATGCGCCTTTTTTCACGTCATGCTGTGCGCCACGTTATTGTTTACATGAGATGAATTGCAGAATGGCAGCCAGTCAGATTAACAGTATTTTGTATCTATCTTCAGGTTTTACATGCTTACATATACACACTGTCCCTCCATTTACAAAGGCAGAGGCGTCATGGTGTAATTATTTTATGTGTATTTGTTTTTTTCCTGTGTAATAATATTCAACATTGTTATCAATACATTTTTCAAAAAAGGTCTGTCTGTGCAAAATGGGTTGAAAAACATAAACCAGCTGTGGGGTACTGTTTGTCCGTGATTTAGACAGGGGGAACAAATCGTGGCAGGATCAGCCTGATATTATTTGTATCCCACTGTAACTTTACTGTATACAGAGCTAACATCTCCAAAATGTCAGGAGTAGTTAGTCATTACAACAAGTGTTTGTGAACTAAAAATCAAGAATGTGGGATACTGTTTGTCCGTGATTTGAACAGCTCAGCACATGCTCCCGACAAAGGGAAAAGCAATTATGCAGGGGAAACCTTGGCACCCTAGGGGACGGGCTCCACACTTTGGGAAGGTCTGTACTAAACAATAATAATAATAAGATCACTATTTTCCCCAAAAATGCCCTAGATATGAGGAAACCAAATGCTAGTTCCCCCTAAATAATGAAATCATTGATTACAGTATGAGCTATACTCTATGAGGAATGTTTCCAGCACCCTGTTGAATCTATGCCACAAAGTATGACAGCTTGGAGAGCAAAATGGTGTTCAACTCGGCACTGCCAAGCTGTACCTAAAAAGTATCCAGTCAGTGTATAAACAAGCTTTAAGCACATTTAAAACCACCCCAATCCATAGTTTTTAGATTAAACTTAAAAAAGTGTCCCTCACTTTCCATATTGTTTCCCCAATGTTTATTTTCTGGTTCAACTTTAACCCTCATACAGATACCTTCTCAGTATATTCAAGAGGAATTTGTAGTCAAATCAGAGACTGGCAGTTATCCAGTATTGACTTTCTCTAGTTTTCATAATGGACTTCCCACTGGCTCAACTCCCATGAAGATAAAATCTGTGCACACTCTTTTTGATTAAGATACGTGCAGATCCTGTGAAGACGTTTAGAATTTCCCCTCATTTCTGGTGGACTTACTTTGTCCTTTTTATTCTTGCCATTTAGGTTGTGTTTGGCAGTATACAGCACTTTTAGATGATTTTCACTTAGGTGGGTGAGTTATTCAAAATGATTTACAGATGAGCTGAACCATAACAAGATTAGGAAATTTCATGGAAGTGAAAGAAAACGAAAACAAAAAGGCCTAAGAGCCCCAAATGCAATTAAGATAACTTCTAAATTATAATTAAAATCTGGCTTAAAATATCTGATAGTGTCATCCTATCCACTGTGCTGTAGAGTAGAGAAGTAAAGGGTGCAGTGAGTCATCAGAGCCACACCTGTTGGGATAAACGCCCAACAGACTGTCTACAGATACAGTTTACATGTACACAGGAAAACACTAACAAACCCCAGCTGAACAGAATTGGGACATTTTTTATAATCCTGTATCCAGCCCCCAAGAATCCCTCTAATTCAAGGCTCTCCCAGAGATAAGAGATAAGGCCAGAACCAACCAACCTATGTCAGTTGGTATTGAGACTGTCTGTCTCTAAGAGATATTCTGCCAATCATAATCGGACTTGTCTCACCACACTGCTTTCCAAACACCTATCAGTGTAAACCAAATTCTAACAAAATGAAAAGAAATCTTTCTCTGGGAAGAAGAGTTTATCTGACCCTAAAAACAGGTATGAATTAGCAGAATGTCTCTTAGGTGTCAGAAACAGAAAAACAGAGTCAAATCCTAACCAAATGTAGGACCACAAACTGGCAATTGAACAAGGAAGACACACGAGGTCGTGGCAACCGAAAGATTAGAAGAACATGTGATCACTGTTTGAGAGGTGAGGTTAAAAGTGAGACATTTCCTCCTAAAATGTGAATCATTGAGTGAAGTAAGGAACATTTACTTTACCCACTTCAGTTCTGTAATTCCAAATTTCTATAAGCTGAACATCTCAGGAGACGGGGCATGTCTGACTGCCTGCCATATATATGTCAACATGCTACAAACGGAGGGATTGTGAATGACCAGCGCCCATGCACACACACACACACACACACACACACACACACACACACACGCACAATTTTATTAATTTCTATTGTTCCTTTTTCTATTATTTAATTAAACTTTTTTTCTGTGAAAATAATAATAAAAACAAGTACACGAGAACAAAAAAAAATCTATTTGGTTTCCAAATATTTCCAAACCTGAAAATGATGGTTATGAATCTTTTGTAGCCCTTTAAATGCATTACAGATGAATGTGTCACAAATGCAACCAGAGCCACAACTTGAAAAACCGGTTTGTTTTCAGCATGATATGACAAAAAATACATCGTGCGTGACATCCAGGAGGACTGGGTCTCTTTTTATAAATTGGTCTGGCTTAGATATGTTTACAACAGTCACTATCATGAATTCAAGGCACTCATATTTTCTAAATAGGTCATTTCTGGATCTTCTTCTTGCCTTAGTAAAGACTATGTTTTACAGTCTTGTTTCCCAGCCACACTGACCTTAATGAAGGTTACAAAAGAAAATGAGAATGTGTAACAGAACTGTTTATGTGTACAGCACACCGTAAGTCACCGTGAGGACCTCTGTGGACAATCAGCAGAGATTACAAGAATCAAGCAGACGTTATGACAACAATTTATATGGAGAAAACAGCAGCTACGCCCAAACTCATTACTGTTTGTATAGTAAATGGCACACTTGCTATGTTTGGTTAGCTGGCAATGCATGCTCTTATTTCTATGTCAAAACACATTATAAACATTAACTCTAGATGAGTTTAAAAACATCTTAGTTGAAGCTGTGTATTGATCTCCTCTCTGGTTTCATTCATCCTATGGTGTAGCATCTATTGTGAATGAACAGAATGTCAGAAGAGACACGTTGTTTTGTTGACTGGACAGATGGATCGAGTTTACAAATGTTGTCACTGAATTCATAAGAAGCACAACAGAATCTGTCCATCCATCCATTCTCTTCCGCTTGTCCTTATCGGGGTTGCAGGGGAGGCTGGAGTCTATCCCAGCTGCTGGGTGGGCGGAGGGGGGCATCCAGCCTGATGCAGGGCTAACACAGAGAGACAGACAACTATTTGCACTCACATTCACACCTATGGGCAATTGAGATTCACCAGTGAACCTAACTCTATTTACTGCATGTGTTTAGACTGTGGGAGGAAGCTGGAGTGCCCAGAGAGAACCCACGCAAACAGGAAAGCATGCAAGCTCCACTCAGAAAGGCCACGGCCAGGTGAGGGAGTCAGGACCTTCTTGCTGTGATGCAACATTGCTAACCACTGCTCCACGTTGCTGCCCAGCAAACACTGATTAGCTGCCCAACAGAATCTGATTCTCAGGCTTTTATTTATTAGTTATTATTCGGAGATTAGCTGCTTTTTAACAAATTTTCTGTCCAATCCTTAAACTGACCATTTTCAGATAAATATGTTTTGTTTGCTTGTTAAGCCACTTAACATTGATCTATAAAACAAATATCTAACTCAAGAGATGAACCAGAACTGTGTGTTTGCACATAAAAGACAGCCTCAAGGTAAAATTTAAAATTTTACCTTGAGGCACTTTGTTACTGGCAGCCTGTCTTAAAAACATGTTATTCCATTCTGAAAAACATTCAAATTTTGTAGCTGAATCTTAAAAATACCAACGATAACACAGTTATGTTAAAATTAAATCTGTATTTTTCCACCAAGGGGGTGATTCCAAAACCTTGACATCATTGAGCATGGTGTTCAGTGTGCCTTAAAAAACTGAGGAAACTGGACAAGTGGAGGACAGAAGAATTGTCAGGTCTAAAAAAAAAATCTAACTACAGCAGATGAACAATATCTTAAAGTCATGTCCTTAAGTAATAGAAAAAAGTCCAGCAAAGACCTAACACGGGACTCAAGAAATGCATCTGGACCTTCAGTTGATTCAACTACTTTTCACTGAAGCCTCATCAGAAATGATCCCAGTGGGAGGGTGGCTGTCAAGAAGCCATTCTTAAGGAAGGGAAACAGGGAGAAAAGGCTGAGGTGTGAAATTACAAAATAACTGGACTGGCAACAGGTCTTATTGAGTGATGAATCCAAATGTGAAATGTTTGGTTCAAGAATAAAGGTGGTCATTTCAAATCATTCACTTTCGGGCTCATCAGAATGGTACAAACTCAGTTTTAGCCTTATAGTCTGTATTTACATGTACCCTATGATTTCACATTTTGATAAATAGCTGTACCTATTTTCCATTTTTGTAACAAAAATAAAGAATTGAGTGGTGACTCAAGACTTTCACACATTACTGTATAGACGTTTTAAATGACAGAGGAGGGTTAAGTGAACCAGAAGCTCTTTTTGCTATAAAGGCTTATATCGTCCATGAAGCAAGACCAATTACTACAGGGAAACAAATGTTAATGAGGCATTTGACATTTAACTCCATCACACTGCCACTTTGCTCCCTGCTGCTCTGTGGAATAATAGTCAGCTCTACCGGAAAGACTGGCAGCCTTGAAGAGGATCACTAAAATATGAGAGAAATAACTCTGTTTCTGAGAAAATCCTCCCCTTGACAAAAAGTCTGTCACTGAACATGCAAATTTACCAGATGTTATATTCAAGTGTTCTTATGTGTGATAGAATTAGACTCTTAAAATATTTATTTGGAGCTTGATTAGTAACTGTTTTCTGTTGCATGGCTTCTTTAAACACAAGCACATGTGAGAATTTCAAATAAAAGTTTATAGAGCCTTATTTTACATATTCTGACTTAATACCTTTCTCATAAACATTATTCTGTCTTAGAACAATCCCAGTCCAACTCATTTTAATGTACTCAGTAATTCCAGGAATTTAAGGTTTGATATTTTGATATTTTATACACAAGCATGTTATGCAAAGTCACGGAAAATAACTGTCTGTTCTGTTGAGGTGTTATGATCAAATACACAACTATTATTTCAGCCATATTCCATCTTTTTTAGAAGCTACATTTAACTCTCTGTCTTCGGTGTAATCTCAGATGTGTGAGTGATAGAGAGTGTAGAAATGAAGGTCATACCACATGTTGCCTTTAACTGTTGCACTGCTGCACTGAGCCCATCCCATAGGCAGATCCACCGCTAATTATGTGAAGGTTGGAAGCCCAGTGAAGATATCCACTTCGTCTCTGCCATTCATCTCACTTCATTCGGAGCTACAAGTTGCTGTGGCGGAGGACAAGTGTACTTTCGCTCCAGGAGCCAGTCGTTTGCTGTCGGTCTTTGTTGTGAGTATGTTTGGAACTATGGAGTGACTGCAAATTTTCTTTATCATCATCATCATCATCATCATCATCATCATCATCTTTTATACAGATGCACAGAAGCAGCCTATTTCAAATATTTCCACACATGAATTATATGGCATATCTGCTATGTGCTGCATGAATTATATTAGCACTAGAAATGACTTATAATGAATTTCCTTTTTATTATTTCTAGCAAAGTTTTTTTTTTAAAGGCCTGCTGTTGCTGGCTTTTTATTTACTCGCCTATTATGAGGATCATTAAGATGGTACTCGAATGTGTCTTTTAAACTCAAAAAAACATAACAGCATCTACTTATAAAGAAAAGCTGAGATTTGAAAAACAACTAAATGTGAACTTTATGACAGATATATTGTGCGAGAGCAACATGTTAATATAAGGTGTATTTACAATCTGTGCTAGCGGATGCCGCCCCCTTGGGAGGGCTGCGCTACCTCCGCTCCCCTGCCCTTGTCCTTTGAGACTCTCCCTGTTCCTCTTGCAGCTGAGACCCAGGGAGCAGAATTAACAAGCAAATTGAAACAGACTCTAACCAGCACCTCAGATACCTTCAATAATGTCTCACATTGATCATTTGTGACAAATTTTCTTTATATTGCTCTTTATAAGAGCAAACTTGTTTTCTACAACCACATTTCTTTATTGGTAATCTGTACTTTTGTGTCTTGTTTTTAAATTTGCTACATGATGGCTGATCCAAGCGGGAGAGGGCAGGATGTCTAACAACATGGCCAAGATTGCAGATGCTCGAAAAACAGTAGAGCAGTTGAAACTGGAGGTCAACATAGAGAGGATGATGGTGAGTCCACACAGACAGTGACTGGAAACAAAGCAAGGGCACAAATAAGGCAGTGTGAATTGAAAAGTCTTCAGATGAGCAAGTATTCACTTCAGTTAAGGCACCACGTGTTCTTCCTTTGTACTTCACTGTGTCTTGGAAACTTTCAATAAAAAATTACATTTTACATGCTTTTATTTATCAGATGTATTTATACTTTTGACAAATAACTGCTTATTTGCAGCAACTACAGGTGTGTGAATCTTTATTATTGTAGATATGTGCTCCAGCTTAGAGACCCACAAATGTTCAATCAGGGTTTAGATCTGATGATGCTACTGTCCACTCCTTTTAACAGAATACCAGCTGACAGCTTCCTTTTAAAAAGTTCTTGCATAGTTTGGAGCTATATGACCTGGTTCAATGATTTCACTCCAGCCTGGCACTGCACGCACCATCAAATCATCACACTTCCTCATATCAAGCACTCTTTCAGCCCCTCGCTCAAATGTTCTTTTTGACTTAAACACCTTAGACTTCAGATATCATTGTGTATAGCAGTATTCCAATTTGCCTCTGTCCAATATCTGTGTTTTCCTGCTTATTTGTTCTTTCTTACTGTTATTGGCCAGTCTCAGATATCCTGGAGGGACTTCATGAGTGCCATTTAATGAGCCTGCCATCTGATATCGAGAGACTTTAATCGACTTGTCCTCTTGCTCAGTTATGCAGAGATCCTCCCACTTCTCTTTCTTATTCTGTGTAGTATATATATATATATATATATATATATACACACACACACACAGATATATATATGTGTGTGTGTGTGTGTGTCTGTGTGTGTATTGGAACAGATGAGCTCATACTTAACATCTTATCTTGCCCTTTTATGATCACTGACTCACTTAAACACAGTCTGCTTTTACAGGTATCCAAAGCAGCAGCTGAACTGATGGCCTACTGTGAAGCTCATGCCAAAGAGGACCCGTTGGTGACTCCAGTGCCTTCATCTGAGAACCCGTTTCGAGAGAAGAAATTGTTCTGTGAAATCCTATAACTCTCTTGTGCAAAATACACACACACACACACACACACACACACACACACTCACACACACACACACACACACACACACACACACACACACACACACCTAAACAATGACACTTTGTTTATTAGGATTATTTTAAAACAGCATTCCGTTTTTCATTTAGGTAGCGATTTCCTCACATGTCAAATGACTGTGTGTTAAGCACGATAAGAATGGCAATAAAGATTTATTGAAAAGAGTGCAAAGTTCATTTAAACAAGCCACTGCTGCTGCATCTCCCACTGTGCACACAGTTTACATATTAACAAAACTCCATATTTAAGTTGTCATCGGGTTGTTGCTCGCTATTAATCTCGGTATTGATCTTTTTGTTGTCAAATGAGTAGCTGAATAAAGCTCACCGTCTTTAAACAGCCTCTGTTTTTCTGCCCGTTTCTCAGGGAGATGTCACTTGGTCACTGAAACTTATGCAAACTAGGGGTGGGGCTATGTGTGATCCGTCAGTGCAGGTTAGAGGTGCAGGGAGCAGGTGTGCACAGGTCTCCAAACAGCAGGGAGCTGTCATTCAAGGCGGTTTGCCGACATTAATTTGTTGTATTTGGGAATTAGCCGCAGAGATTAAGGTATGTTGATTTTATCAAGCATGTACTCAGTTGAAGATTTACCTCGCTACAGATGCTGATGTGCCACAGGCTAACTGGACTTTAGATAAACGCGTATTTATTGTGTCGAAACATTATTTGGACTTAGCTCTGAGACGGTGAAATCAGCTATCTGCCTCCATACACGTCGACAGTGTTGGAAATGTTGGACAATGTGTGAAAAGTGTTCAGTAACATCACGCCAGGCAGGGCTGATCAGGAAAAACTTGTCTGACTAACCGAACACGCGGATCTTAAACACACCCGTGTCTCCAATACTAACATTAAAAGCAGGGGGAAGAAGTTTTAAGGTCTGTTATAAACCACCGACTTCCTTTTGAGCAGTGGAAAAAAGCCCGTGTTACATGTTCACTGCGTCTGATTTTAGATTTCACTTTAATGAGTCAGCGGTAGAATTTAAGTTAAAACAATATAATTGCGCTTTCCCATTTTCTTAGTGACTTCAGTTAGTCGTTAAAGTATTACTTGTTAAACTTTTAATACTGTTTGTTTTTTCTGATTTGAAAGGCAGCACGTTTTCTGTCAAAAAACCCTCTTTCATTTGAATTTCAGTTTTGCAAAACAAATGTCATCCGGACCAAAGAACACGCTCAGCAGGCTCCGCCCTAATCAGACAGGATATGTTATAAATTAATCGCTGCTTTCCCCCTATTGACAGCAGTTTCCAGCACTGTATTTGTTTTTATGTAATGCCAGCTGCTTTGAAAAAGCCCTTTGTGAACGTTGCTATCTATTTGGATTTCGTTTCCTTAAATGCCAGGTTCTTATCATCTCAATAAAGCGGAACTAAGAGCCTGCACTTTAACCTCAAAGCTAATACCTTTGAACTTTCAACGCTGCATTTAGTATATACTATATTTGCATTCATCCTGGTGTATTAATATATTGGATATTTGTCACACTTATTTTTTTTAGATCATCAAACTAATTTTAATATTAGTCAAAGATAACTGGAATGAATACAAAATGATGATTTCATTCATTGAAAGGGGGGAACTAAGCAGCCCAACCTGGCCCTGTGTGAGGAATTGCTCCCCTTGTGAAATCCTGAATTACCTTAATTATAACATTTATTGACTTCAATTTCTTTAGCCACACCCAGGCCTGTGAGACATGTTGGATCAAGAAACCGCTCGAGTAGATCCTATCTGACAAAGTGAAGCAGGTTAAAAGATCTCAAAAAACAACAACGCAATCTAAAGAGACAGCTGAGTCATTGATATCCATCAGTCTGGAAAGTCATTTCTGAGGCTTTGGGATTCCAGTGAACCACAGTCAAAGCCATTATATACAAATAGAGTAAACTTGGAACAGTGGTTAACCTTCCCAGCAGTGTTACCAAAATTACTCCAAGAGTGCATTCATGAGTCATCCAGGAGGTCACAAAAAGAGCAAGAACAACATGGAAAGAACTGCAGGCCTCACCTGCCTCAGTTAAGGTCAGAGTTCATGATTCGGCAATAAGAAAGAGACATCCTTAGGAGGGGAAAAATCCACTGCTGAGCAAAACGAACACAAAGGCTTGTCTCAAATTTGCCAAGAAACATCTTTATGATCGCCAAGGCTTTTGGGAAATTACTGTGTGGACTGACTTTTTGGAACGTTTGAGTCCCTTCACATCTGGCGTAAAATCAACACAGCATTCCTAAAAAGAACAGAAAAAAAAACGTGGTGGTGGTATTGCGACGGTCTGGGGCTGATTTGCTGCTTCAAGACCTGGAAGACTTGATGTAACCATGAATTCGGTTCTCTACCAGAAGGTCAGGCCCTGAAGCTTAAGTGTACTTAAGCATGACAATGATCTGAAACACGAGTCCACCTGTCTATGGCTCCAAAGTAAAAAACAGAATGAAGGTTTTGCAGTGGCCTAGTCAAAATCTGGGCTTAAATCAGATTGAGATGCTTTGGGATGCACTGTTTGTTTGAAACCCACCCAAATGTGTCTGAAATAAAACAATTCTGCAAAGAAGAGTGGACCAAAATTCCTCACAGTGACGTGAAAGACTCAGTGACCGTGATCCAAAAACAAATTGCTCCTAACTTTGATCCAACCGGTTATCAAGTTTAAGGGGCATTTACTTTTTACACAGGTCCAGGTAAGTAAACTTATTTTTTCCCCTTAATAAATTAAATCATCATGTAAAACCTGAATTGTGTCTTTGTCTACTATTAGAATTAGTTTGATATGAAACATGTGTGATGAATATGCAAAAATGAATAAATCAAGAATGGTAAATGGCCTGTATTTGTATAGCGCTTTACTAGTCCCTAAGGACCCCAAAGTGCTTTACACGTTCAGTCACCCACCCATTCACACACTGGTGATGGCAGCTACATTGTAGCCACAGCCACCCTGGGGCGCACTGACAGAGGCGAGGCACCACCGGGCACTCTGACCACCACCAGTAGGCAACGAGTGAAGCGTCTTGCCCAAGGACACAACGACCGAGACTATCCGAGCCGGGGCTCGAACGGGCAACCTTCCGATTACAAGGCGAACTCCCAACTCTTGAGCCAAGAAGGGGGCAAATACACTTGTATAGCAATGTATGACATGACTAAGGCGCATTTCTTCTTTTTTTCAGGCCTGATAATGGCCAACTTTGGAGGACACGCTATTCCTGGCTCTTTTTTCCTGCTCTATGGCTTCTGGCTAACAGTGAAATATGTTCTCCAACACTACTGGAGGACAAACCAGCCTAAAGGACGGCAGACTTTGCCGCCAATCTTTAAAAGACTGGACTACATTGAAGGAGGGTTCCAGATATTTGCTGCTTTTATTGGTCAGTTTTCCTGTAAATATATATTCATCAGTTGTGTGCGTCCACCTGTTCTAATTTCACTGATGCTGTCCTGTCACAGGTATTATGGTTGAGCAGTTTGTGGTGGACGGGCCACATGCTCATCTCTACAACGACGGCGGGTGGATTAAGTTGATGAACTGGCAGCACAGCACAATGTATCTGTTCTTTGGGATTTCTGGAATAGCTCTGATTTTAAGTACAAAATTCCAACTGGTGCCAAGAGGAGTGGGCCGCTTTGGTCTCTCGTTAGCTCTTTTTGTTGAAGGTAAGCTGTAAGAAAGCCAGGTTTTAGTTGCACAATATTTTTCACCATAATTTCTGGTGGCTAACGTGTATTTGAGCTACATTTTGTGTTTGACTCTATTTCACACAGGGTTTCTGTTTTACTACCATGTGCACAATCGACCTCTTCTGGACGCCCACATCCACACCCTGCTCCTGGTGGCGGTGTTTGGAGGCTCAGCCAGCATCATGCTGGAGATGTTCATAAGAGACAACATTATTTTAGAGCTGTTCGGGTCATGCATGTTCATCCTACAGGGTTCGTGGTTCTACCAGGTGATTAGCCAAATGAGATCCTGATGCAGAACACCTCATTTATACACCCAGCAACATCTATCCACCCGTCCAGTTCAGCCATCTGACACAGGATGAGAGACAGGATACACCCTATACAGGCTGCCAGTCCATCACATAGAGACAGTCAACCATAAACACTGACAGGCAAATTACAATCACCAATTAACCTAACAAGCACGTCTTTGGACTGCAGGGAGACCAAGCAAACTATACACAGAAATGCCCCAGGAGGATTAAACCAGGAACCTTCTCGTTGTGCTAAACACTGCATCGCCGTGGCACTTGAATACTAAAACAAAGACCACTTAGAGGACCAACACCACTTTTTAAAATATTTACTTGTATAGTTTAATCACATTTTCTAGACAAGCAGTAGATTTCATTAATTTCTGCACACGTCAGGGCCAGTTCGGTGCCATCTGTGTGGACTGTCCTTAGATCTTGCTCTTTGTGCAAACTTTTTGTCAACTTACATTTTTTTATTCATTTGCTTATAATGATAATAGGTAGTTGGCTTCTTCATCACACATTTGTCATTTCAGATTGGATTCGTACTTTACTCACCAAGTGGAGTGGAATGGAACTTGACCGAGCACGCCAACGTCATGTTCGTCACAATGTGCTTCTGCTGGCATTTAGCTGTGGCCCTGCTTTTAGTCACTTCCACTGCAGTTGTAGTTTGGTTGTAAGTATCTCATCCTTTACATGCACACATTTTACAACCAGATCAGTGTAATAACCGAGTTTGAACAGACTTGGTTAGAAAACAGAACAAGTGGGATTCAGCAAAACAGGTACAATTAAAATCTTGTCACAACATGGCAGAACAACATGTGCACCTGCATTTATGATACGTGTACTCGGGTTATTATTCCCTGTAAAATGCAACTTGATCAGGGTTTAGCCTGCATATTTTGCTCTGAAATGGCTTTTCATTAGAGCATAATGTGCCTCAATGGGATATCACTATTCACTTGACATTTCAGAATAGCTGAAGCAAAGGTTTTCAGGGACGGTTTCAAGGACAAGTAAACTTCATGATAAATCACTTCCTGAACATTTTGTAAGCTTGGTGAAAGCCACCTTTTTTGAATTCTGACATCCAAACCTGCTTTTTGAGGTGATGTGTATATAGGCAACATGTTTTTGTTTACATTCAACATTTCTCATAAATACCCAACAGCTAGTGGCAGCTTATTTTAGTAGTTCTTAACCCTTAAGATGGATAAATACAGGTAACTTATAACCCGTATTAATCTGCATTACTTGTCTTCTTTATCTGTTATTGGTGGGTAACATTTTACACTGACTGCTGTGATGTCTTGCATCTATGGACCCTCTTGCGATTGTTGGTAGAAAAAGGTTTAGGCTTAAGAGGCACTGATACGTTTAAACCTCGTCTCCATTTGGAACTTTTGATTAGATTTTAATGTCCTTTGGTAATAATTATCATTAATAATTCATTAGCTTTCAGGAGGCAACAATAACAGTGTTAGTTGTGTAATCTTCATATACACTTGTGTTTGTTCCAACAGGACTGTGGTGCAATTCTCGGCAAGGGGACGAGACATAGAGATGGGAATGCGTAACACATCCTCTGAATTGACCTCTCAGAAAGCTTTGCTTCAAGAGTCAGATGAAGAATGAAGGCATGTTTATGGCTCTTTGATTTCATTTTTCAAATCTTGATCTATTTTATCTATTTTTAAAAAAAATGTCTAAAGAAAATAAGATTGAAATCCATGTGAATTAACTATTATCATGTTTGTAAATATTAAAAAGGACAATTCATATTTGTGTATCGCCTGCTTTTACAAAAAATGCAACATATTGAAATATTTTATTAACAAATCACAACTTGCTTATATTAAACTGAATTAGTACTTTAATACAATCGGACAAGTTGTTGTTTGAGGTTATCAAGAGACCATGTAGACTTTTCAGTTTTCCCACAAACTTGCACCTGGAATTTCTACGGAAAGATTATAAACAGGCTGAATTTTCTTATGATATATTTTGTTTATAACAATGTGGAGAAACAAATTCAGGAGGTAACATTTTGTTAATAAATGACCAGAATTTTCATGTAATACTTGGAAAAAAAGAAAAGAAAGGCAGCAGGGTTTTCAGGGAAGAATTAGGTTTCTGGCTTTTATGTTTTTTAACTTGCAAACTGAACTAAAACTCTGATAAATATTGGACAAAAAGAAACAATCCTGGTACATATATAGCATCCTTGATCTATGAGTCATTGTAGGCTGACAGGATGAGATCACTGTTGTGGAGCCGGTGGAGTATCAGGTGTACATTTTGGTGAAGGTGCTGTTGTGACTACGACTGTTGAAACAGATTTTGGGGAGCCTGCAGCCATGTGCTGAACCTGCTGCGCTGGAACTGTCTGGATCCGAACCTGAAGAGTATAAGATGGTAGATAATTCTCTGTATTTGTTTGATCTGAACAGATAAACTATAAAATGAAATCACTATATGTGCTAAAAATGAAAAGCATCTACAAAAACCTGTGTGGCCTGTCCTTGCTGCTGAAGCTGTTGGAACTGTTGCGCTGTGACAAAACTGACAGGTTTGTTTCCTGCAATCAGCTTCGTGCCAGCAGGCATGGTGGTGAGAATGATGTTTCTGCCCAGGCTGCTAATACTGCTCGCACGGGAGAGAGAAATGTATAAATATAGATCAACTGCAAAAATGTGCACTTCTACTGTTATAATGTCAAGAAAACACACAAATTGCTGAAATAAAATATCTTAGAGCATTAACCTTCACAATAAAATGAAAGCGAAAAGTCTAAATCTGTGCAGCCTTACTTTGTGTTCAGGCTTCCTTTCACAATGGGTGTCGTTACAACACTCTTGCTCTTCAGTGGCTGATTGAGGACAGACAGGGGGACTGTGATCCGTGCGGGTAACTTCCCCTAGAGTGTTCAAAGAACAGAATGGTTTGGGCCTGTTATTGATGGTTTTACAGTACACTTAAAGCAATCATTTAAATAAGGTAAAATTCAAAATTCCCATTATTGAGAATATCCTATCATTTAGATCACTAAAGAAAAACAAAAGTAGTCTGCAGTGAAATGACTTGCTGAATGCAAGCTGACTGTATGTTTGGAGAAAGCGAGGAACAGGTGGATGCATTCCTTGCTTATCAGTTCCTGGTTTTCATTTGAGGAAACCATGTAAATCAATAAATTACCAACCCGTTAAAACATTAACTAGTTCTAGTTTTAACAGATAGTTACACATAGTTGGGATAATCTTTTCAGTAACTGTAAGCTGTTTGGTTAACTCTCACGCTTAAACCCTTCTTAAGACATGCATTAGATAACATTGTTGGATTCAACAGTGTGTTATAGTGATGAATAACTGAATAACACTGAATATTTCTCTAACCGTTTGTGTGGTGACAACTGTAGTAGGGACCTGTCGCACAGTAGCTGTAGCTGTTCCTAGCGTCAGAGGTGACCCCGAAGCTCCAGAAGCCACTGTGATCCCTTTAGCACCGGCCACAACACTGGCAGGCATGGTCACTACGTTAGCACATGTACTTGCTGTGAGAGGTTTACTGCCAGTGGTGGTGGTCATTGTGATGGTCTGACCTGGTTTCTGTGGAATTACACCCAGGCCCGGCATTATCCGAATTGTGGCGCCGGTCTTGTCTGGGGAAGTCACAGTGGAGAAGGTCCTAGATTTTTGGTCGGCCACAGTGACGGCCAACGTGGGCATCAAACGAATGGTCGTGTCTCCTGCAGCCTTTAACAAGGTCGAGGCAACGTGTCCTGCTTTAGTGGTCTGTACTTCCCCAGTACAGGATGCAGCACTGGACACCGAAGAAGGTGAAGGATGGGGTGGTGTCACGTGAAGAGTGGCTGATATGCTCTTGCCGCCTGTGGAGGCAGAGCCCAGAAAGTCAGAAGTGAGCTTGACGGTCGTAACTGGGGATTTGGCAAGTGTTGCCATCATGTCTGGGGTGATCCGCAGCACTGTTTGGCCTTTAGCATCTGTGGTTATGGACGATGGTGGGAGGCGTAGGACATCTTTGCCTTGGATGCGAAGGTTTGTAGCTGTGATAGGAATTCCTGCTCCTGGAGACTTTACTCCCAGTTGTCCTGTGATAGACACCTGCAAATAATAATAATTATAATGATAATTATACAAATAATGAATCATGGGATCATTAAATGTAAACGGCCTTCAAGGATTTTTTTCCTGTCACCATCCTCTTCCTGTATACTACTCAGTTAAACTACATTTCAACTATAGTTGTTGCGCTGAGATTGTAAGGAGTCAAATTTGTTTATTCATATCTGTAAGCATCTGACATTTAAGGGAACATCTCTACTATACGGTTAATAACTATGCACCACTGTTGCACTGTAGTGCCCTTCAGATAGTAGATACCCAAATATATACAGTTAAAAGAAAATGCTCAACCTGTTTGATGTTTGGGCTGGTGACTCCTTGCAGCACCGCTGGAGAAGCAGGGTTGTTAGCTGGGCTACCAGGTGATCCAGATTGAGGTTTGGCCAAGGTTACAGCTGACACAGACAATGTAGTTGGAACCTGGACTGGACTGCTAGCAGGTTGACTTCTTAAAGGCACAGACACCACAGCCTGTTGACATACACGACAAACACAGACAGAATTAATTGTACATTTCCAACAACCATCCATCCATCTTTTAAAAATTACTAGTTGTTTTTGGTACCTGTGAAATTCCTTTAGCTGACACTGACACTGGCATCCGGATCTGGTGAGGGGTCTGATGTACCAGTGTGGCTTGCTGACTTCCTGCCGATGACCCCAGGCCAGGCTGAGCAGGAACGACTCGTACTTGTGGAAGAGAACCTGCCGTCAGGTGACTCACTATACGAGCTGCGTGGGATGTAACTGGCTGAGAAGCTGGTGGACAAGCCTGACTTGTGGGCAAAATAGTTCCCAGCTGGGGCAACGATGGAGGGGACACAAGAAGAACACTAGGCGTACAAGAGGGAGGAGAAGCAACAGACAAGAGTTGATTTGAAATTGCACAAATGAATCAAAACGTATGTTCTAGACAATATAAATAAGAAAGAAAAAAAATCATATATGGCACACTGACCCTGGGCTGGTTTTGATTGTATCTGGGACTCTGGTTTTTGTTGGTGTGGTGACTGTGGAGGGTAAGGGTGATTTGGGGGTTCCAGGTGTGTTCGGAGTGGGTGTCGTCGGGATTGGTGACATGGGATTAGAACCTATATCCTGTCCTGCTTCCAAAAATCCCGTTTTGTTGCCTCCATCTTTGCTTCCAGACTTCTAAACCATAACAACAAAGATTAATCAAAACAATAATTGGTAAATGGTTATTTCCCCCAGTAAATGCTGTTGGGTGTTTGTTTTGTTTCCTGTGGACTTACAGGTTTAGCTGCTGGTTTCGGTTTTTGCTGTAGAGCTTTTCTTGCTTTTGCAGCTGCAGCTTGGGCCTGGTGGATCCTCTCTGGATAGGACAAATAAACCAAAGAATAAGTTTTTTTTTTTTCTCCACTGCTCAGTGATCAAGTCATTTTCTGTATCTAACAGAGCTAAAGAGGCTTTTACAAATGAAATGTCTTTTCTTCACATGGAAAGAGATGATAAAGGTAGTTCATTTTGCTTGATGCTAATGTTAAATGTGCCATGACTCACGCACACAACAGGAGCAGAATCAAGCAGGAAATAAACCAGTTAATGTTAGTTGAGTTGAGGACAACAAGTGCAATAAAAGCGATAATTAGAGTTAATCTGTAACACCTCATGGAGACGTGGACAGGGCCAAGAGCCAGCAAACCAAACAAGTAAGATATTGTGCAAGAAAGGGTCAGATTTTAGTAGGCTCCTAATGTCTTCTGATAATGTCCTTCATACAGAGCAGAGTACTGTATCCTGATGTTGAGTAAAAACAAGACACTGTTCTTTAAGGCAGCTCCATAAACCAGAAATATTTTGAAATAAGCTTTGTGGCTTACCAAACTCTTCCTGGCTGCGATTGCGGTGCAGGTAAATCCACAGTTTGCGGCCAATGTCATACTTGACACAGGGGTCTTTCTCATAGTGAAGTCTATCCAGAGCCCCGCTGACAACTGTATTCACCTAAATGGAAAGCAAAGCTCCTTACTCACGGAAAATGTCACTAAAAGGCTAAAGCTTAAAGCCAGTGTCTGTCTCTGAAAAGTGGTCAATTCATAATCAAACACAACAAAGAAGTCATCTGTAATTATGAAAAATGATAAGGGACACAGAGAAAAAACTTAATGAAGAGGAAAAAAAGAAGGGAAAACTCTTTCATGCCTGTGCACTTGTGACATCTGGAGCAAGAAACTGTGAGTCTTTCAGCAGTTCACAGATCTCTGCTCTCGTTCCCTCCCCATTGGGTAATCTGGCTGCTGCATCCCGTACTAGAAAAAAAGAAAAGAGGCAAAAGTCATACGAATGGCTTTGCTGCTAAAGCAGTGAGTCCCCACATCAATGGAATCCACGTAAAACAGAAGCTCTAACCCAGAGAAAGAATGGTGACGTATGGTGGTCGGTCTGAGCGCAGCAGCGTGTGCTCCCTGGCTTTGTTTAGTGACATCTCCTTATCGAACACTCCTTTAACTGGACCCACCACAGATTCAAAGCCATGCATCCTAAACGTGAAAGCCTTATGTGGCTGGTTGTACCGTTGCTGCTCCTAAAAAAAAAAAGTATGTAGACTTCAGAGAGGGTATGCCAGGCCAGATGTGCAGATCACTTTAAACGTTGCAGCACAAAAGCAAACCTGGACTTGAAACACTTGTCTCTCATCTCCAGTGCTGGGACGCACGACATAATCAGTTGAACTGTGTGAAGAGGGGAAAAAAGAAAAAAAAAAAAAAATTAGGAGCTTACATATACGTGTATTACACTTCTTAAGAATAACTTTAATGTCACAATAATTCAAGAAACAAGCAGAAAACATGAAATTAGCAATAAAAATCATAAATTGCTGAAGCTTACAGTCTCGGTGTGGGAGAGGTCATCTCTAATGTTTCTTCATTTTCTGTCTGTTGAAGATAAAAAGCCTTTTTAAATATTGTCAGAGATAAAACTGATAAAACACAACTAACGTACAGCATTGTACAAACTGTACAATGTCACAAGTGTACAAGTCACACGGCATTTTTTGTAGTAATATATATTTTTTTACCTTGACAATGAAATCTTTGGAGTCTAACCACAACTGACACAGTGCACTCAAATCCTTCTCTGTATCCTGAGTGGGACCTAAAAGAAGTTGTGAATGTTAATCTCCTTTGACGACCACCAACAACAAGCACTACTTCAGGCCAGGTATTGCTGCGTTTGAATGTGCTTACCGATCCACCTCCACTGTTGACATTCATCAGAAAATTCTACAAATGGAGAAAAGCCACTGGGAAGTGCCATCATGCCATCTGATTTACAAACAGAAGAGTGCAGAGGTAAATACTTGGATATTTCTTCCCACTCCAACACGGGGGGAAAAAAATACTGTTTTAGTGTGAGTGACCATTGCTACTTACCTTTAGTCTCTCCTGCAAGAAACTGCAGGGCTTGAACAACCAAGTCAGACCAGCATGAGGCTGAAGAAAACCATGCATTAATGGAACTTGCTGGAGATGACTGCCATATTTGAACTTTCTCCTCCAACTGAGGGGTTAAATTAATGGTGTTAAATTCTGTACAGGGATGTTACAAAATTTAAAACATGTATGCAGGCCGAAATTAGCGCTTACCACTGAAGTACTGGCAGGACCTTCTGTCCTCAAGATGTTTTCCAGCAAACTGAAAAAACTGGCGACTATTTCCTCAACTGGAACGGGACTGCTTAGATACTCCTCCACAACTCTGCAATAATAATAATAATAATAATAATAATAATAATAATAATAATACTGATAAGTAGAAGAAGAGGATCCATCATCTAGCCAGACTATACAGTTACATTTTGACACCAGCAATTTGCTAGACTCACTCCTCCTTAATGTTGGTTAGCGGGGTAGACGGTGCATCTGGCAGGGAGTTGATTATGTTTGCTGGTGGAGCTGATGGGGTGTCTGGAGGTGCAAGAGTGTCACAGGTGTCCTCAGATTCAACTTTTATCGTCCTCATTTTCTTCTTCCTTCTCTCATCTCTGATCTTCTTCTTAGGCAAAGACAGATCGAAGAGTGCTGTGACAATTGAAATAAACAAAGACAAACAATATTATCAGTGTCACAGTGTAATCTGAAAGTACTGACATTCTGTATCAAAGCTTCCACATACCAATGCGCTCCCTTTTAAGAAAGATGGATGACATAAAGGTTTTCATTACTTTTTTTGTATACCTCCCCAGACGTTCACTATTACATAAGTCTTTCTTGAAGCTCGAGGTACAACTCATGTGTTTCATTGTGACATAAGCTGTGAAAGCTGAGGTGGACTGTATATGAGTATTTAAGGCCTTCTATTCCGATATAATTTTAACCCCCTATTTGTTGCTTTTTTAAAATTCTGGAGTTATCTTTGTAGATTTCTAACAAAAATGGTCATCAATTTTTTAATGTTTCATTAAAACATTTAAAAAGTGGATATTTTAAACACATTTACTCACGCATAGTCCCTTTACGACCCATGTTTGCTCTTGAAAGTATGTCTCCAAGGTGGATATCAGAGGTTATCAAGTCTGGATGGTCCTAGGAATAAAAAAAAATAAATAAATTTAAAAAAAAGTCATTAAAGATATAGTGAACAAACCTTATGAGAATCATACGTTTTGTCTCCGTCTCTTGCAACTTACCGGTTGTCGCTTCCTCTTCTCACGATGATTCTGCAGCATGACTTTCAAATCCTGCTCACCAAGTTCTATTTTTTCTATTATGATAATCATAATAATAATGATAACAAATTATGTATAAAAAAACCACACACTTCCTGTGCTTAAACAACACAGTAACATTATTCAGGGTACACGACAAATCACGTACCAGTACTCTTCATGTCTTGAGTGGAGAGGCTTGGTAGTACTCTGACTGAGACCGTGGGTGTTGGAGAAGAGGGTGACTGAGGTGCCGGAGTCCATGGTGATATATCTGGAAGGCATCCAAAGGAACTGGTATGGTCAGTCTTGTAATGATTCAAATTGATGTATCAATCAATCTGTATGTTTAAGTTTCCTCTCAATTTTTCATATTCATGCTAGCTGTCAGTGAAGTGCTTCATAGATTACAAAAGAATGTAATTAGCATTAGAAACACTCATTCAAGACCAGACAAACCATCATCATCAGATGAAGCATTGCTGTCCCCACACTCAGCTTTGACCTCCTTCATTATGCGACTCAATCTTCTTGTCACCCTTGCCTCCCGCATTTCTGCATGGGTTTTGGTTGGTAACCTTCTTTTATGTGGAAAGTCCAGACCATTTTGTACTGCAAAGTCCAGCAGCTCCTGCAACAAGAAATACATCAAAACTCACAGACACAGACAGAAGCTAAGAGGCTGTGCGCAATCTTCCACAAACTTAAAAAACACAAATACCTTTCTGGAGACGAGGATCTGCTTCAGCAGCCTGTGGTAATACTGCTGAAGGCAGTGCACCTGTCGTTTCCTCTGGGACTTGGCACACAGTTGTCTGTACTTGACCACCTCAGGATTGAAGTAACCATCTGGGTTGGGATAACAAGAGATGTGATGAGTAACTGCTTCAAAAATCAATTCAGCATCATTCACTCTTCTCAGCAGTAAAGTAAAGTGGTAAGCACCTCTGAATAGTTTTTGTGCAAGATGAAGGGGGTTCCCAAAGTTAAAATTTTTATTATTGAATAGATCACTGATGGTACTGTCCTGCTCCACACTATTGTTCTCAGGAAACTGCGGCAGAAACTGACGAAGGTGCTGCCGCTGGGAATCTGTCAGTACTTCACGCCAAGTGCTTTCACTCAGCACAGAGAAGAAAATTTCAGGCTGTCGTAAAAAGAAGTGAACAGCAACATATGAAGATATGTGAAGCAAAATATGAACCGTGAAACAGCAGAAAAGAGGATAATTTCGCAACTAAATGCCAAACAACTCACGTCCTCCAGGAGGTCCTCTGGAAGGCTCACTCTGCAGTTCCCCAGCATGCACTCCTCGGTGATTTGCTCATCGTTCTCTTCTTTTGGATCAAGAGGATCCGAAAGCATGTGTGCAAGGGCGTCCATTCTCCTCTGTTCCCACCTTCAAGTATTTCACATGACCACAAACCCTCGGAATACGTCTTTTCACTTATTCACGTTGTTCATTAAATAGTTTTGGGGTAGTGTTGTAGCGCAAGCAAACAAAACCATCCACAGCAACGAAACACCTCATAACAAACTACGCTAAGGTGCTAAGCTAAGCTAGCAGGAAGCTCAATATGACGCGTCTATATACGGTCTCTACTCACTAAGCTGGGATTTAGGTTAGCCACCAATGATAGTACTCTGTGCAGTATGCTGGCTAATAGAATAAAATGGAAAAATACTGTGCTCATATAGATGCAAGTGATTAAAAACTGTTGGTAGCTCTTACCTGACTTTGCTCTATGTTTTGAAATGAAGAGGGAACTATTTTACCGACGCACGGTTTTCTTCTTCTATCCGATTGTTAAGTGATGACGTGACGAATCCTACTTCCGGGCCTAAAGTAGTCTGCGTTTAATATGGCTTTTGTGTTGTTAACATGTTTAATGTTATGTATTTTCTTCTATTTAATCTCAAAAAGCTCCTAAAACAGTCAGTGATCACTGTTGACCTCCCTCGGCTTTTATTACCGCTAATCATTTATTTAAGCTCAGTTTTTAAAACCTTAGGATGTAACTACAGCCCAGCCCATGCAGCAGTATATGAATGACTAACCTCGTATTGTGGATGGATTATCTCAGTTGTTCTCCTGGCTGAAGTTTGGTCCTTTTACAGCATCCTGCCATGCGATTACATTTGTTCCTGACCACCGAGAACACTCACGTTAACTTTTATGGAGTGGACAAAAAGTTAGCTTGTTTATGTCTGTGAAGATTCTCAGTCATCCAGGTCATCGTAGTCAAAGGAGCTTGCAAAGAAAAGCGTCTGGACTTCTTTAAGTTGCTTGAAGACGTTTCACCTCTCATCCGAGAAGCTTCTTCAGTTCTAAGGTCAAATGGTGGAGAGTCCCAGATATAAACCTAGTGGGAGTATCCCCCCACAGAGGGACAAAAGGACCCCCTGATGATCCTCTAATCGCCTGAGCCAAGGTGTGAAACTGGGTGTGGGTCCCAATCAGCCAGAGTTTCGGGTGAGTTCATTGTGAAACCTGGCCCCACCTTATCATGCGAATTCCTGAGGTCAGATGGCCCAGGATGTGAGTGGGCGTTAAGGCGTCTGGGAAGGGATCTCAAAACTGGATTATAGATGGCAGAGAGTTGGTGTCGTAAACCCCGCCTCTGTTCAAAGATGGTCGCTCACAGTGGACATAGATGGCTTCTTTCACTCCTCTTTCAAACCATCTGTCCTCTCTGTCCAAAATGTGAACATTGGCACAAAGGACACTCTTTCGAGACCCTACAAACGTCACTGCTGTTTAGTTTTCTGTCTTCATTTATGTTGGAAGTGATAACAGAGCTGTACGTTTTAATTTGTTTCCAAAACCCCGCAGTCAGGACATGCTATATTGTATTTAGATAGAAGCTAGCGAGCTAACTCCCTGCTAACTTCTAACTCCGTTAAATGTCATAAATTCCGTTTTCATGGATGCCTGGATGTTAAACTCAATTGTTACACCTGGTAGAGCAGAACGCTGATCATTTTATTAAAGATGAAAGACTTTAGACAGTTTTTCAACTCTCAGTAATGCCATAGTGATCGTTTGATATATGGACCTGCAGCGGAGTTTAGGCCCAGACACGGCTAGTGACGTCACACTGAACAACCGGATTGATATTTAATGACATACTCGCCCCTGAGGTTTTGCCGCCCTCTAAAGGAAATTAGTAAGTATGTGCTTGGTATGTAGCTGTACCAAACATAAAACTTAATAACTTTGCCGAATTGTAATTTCAATAACATATTTACTGTTATTCATTATTTGTGCAGAATTAGCTGTCTAATTTCATGGAAATGTTCGAATTAATAGTACGGCTTATAAAATCGTCTGGGTCTAATTTTATTGCATGCAGGTAAGGAGTTTTCTGTTCCACCCAAAAATTTAAAAATGACTCTAACACAATAGTTGTGTAAATTACACCTGTCCTGAGGCAAAATGTAAACCTATTTGTTGAAAAAGTAGATCCAAATTATTCTTTAAAATACAAATTAGCTCTTGAGAACTCCCGCAAAATGGCGTTTTTCTCTTGCTAGTCAAATTGCATGGTAAATATGACAATTATAATAAGTTATAAATTAACTATTATGGTTTCAATACATAACTCTTATAATTGTTTCAGTCTAATTTGTGACTCACATCTGTGCAATCCTTTCACTGAAACCTGTTTAGTCTGGAAAAAGAAGTGACAAAACACATGGTCACGTGATGTGCTAACAAAGTTTAGTCCTGTTTGACATATTTTGTATTTTTCCAATCTTTTATGACCAGTTTGAATGTGCTACTGTAACCAATGTAACGCTCATTTTCCACAAGGCTAATTCATTTCAATTTTTATTTATCTATATAACTGCATTCTTTTCACAGTCCCTAACATTCCATGGTTAACATCTTTTTCTTTGAGATTTTTTTATGGTTTATTTATCATTTTCTTTAAATACATAACAGCTAATTATAAAATAAAGGGTATGGGGTTTATTTGTAAAGTTTATGAAGCCTAAATTGTATTCTAGTTGTAGAATAACCCAACAGATAAACACTTAACATAATTGTATCTCCCCTGTAACTTGTGAAGATCCCTCCTATTTATTGAACATAAAGAAGGAGAAAAGAAAAAAAATAATGGCAAAAAAACAAATAAGGGGTCATGTCTGATGAACTCTTGTCTAACTTCTTCCTGATTTATATTCAGTTTTTATTATAGTGTCCTTGCATTGATATATGAACATGTGAAATGCTGCTTCAGTTTTTGCTCCACCTCTTTTTGATGCTGTAATCAACAGTCAATCCCTCTGCCTCATAACTCAGCCCGGGAGAGGCAGGAGACACACTCTGTCCTTCAGAAGTCTTCACCAACATTGTCCTGCCATATGTGGCAGGCACAACAAGTGGCAGAGCTGTGAAACCAACACTTTCTCATTTCTCTCAAAGGTTTTGCCTTTAATTCCTTGGGAGGATGGCAGAAGGTGCAGATGGAGAGGAAGAGATTCAGTTTCTGCGTACAGTGAGTGATGCTCCTTATCTGTTCTCGATTAGTTGTCAACTGTTGGTAAACTTATTCATCAACAATGAATGGTAGTGGCTATGCTTGTCCATGATGTGGTTGCTTTATAACAGATAGTTAGACAAGCGTTCAGTGTGTTCGGTAGCTTTCTTTACATAGCACAGATAGACAGGCACAGGTGGCTGGTTTTGTTAGCATTGTTTCCTATTTATATCCCATCGGCTACTTGATATACAACTGTTTTGTCACAGAGAAGAAAATGTCTGGTGCCAGTTGACAGTTAACACGTAGACATATCGGTCTCATCGTCCCATTCCCACTGGCTTTATGGGAATGTTTATGTTTTTGTTATTTAATTGGCTATAGAGCCACAAGAACTGATTCAAGACTCCCGTGTGATACAGAGGCACGAAACATCAATTGTTACTTCTTCCCGTTGCACTTTCATTTTATTTTTGCCCAGTATCCTTCAAGATTAAATACTTCTTTAGTCCTGTGACGCCTACAGAATAAATAAATAAAACTCAATGCTCTTCTGCCAGTTGAAAGATTGCAGTTTTCCAAGCATGAATTGCTTAATTATTGATGATCATTATTACATTATGAAGTGTATCTCTTTTTTACTGCTGTGTGGATATAACTGAATCCCACTCAGACATTGAACTTTGTTTTGTTTTTATTACATTACAAGGTTTTTAGTATATTTTACTTAAAATTTCTTACATAATTGACTGTACTATAGTTATATCAAGTATTTAGTTTAAACAAGTTTATCTCTGCTACAGTACTCTCTGCTGGGCTATCAGATTTCCTTCTTAGATCTCTGGGCCAAAGCTGACTGCAGAAGGGCATTGTGGCCTTGCAATCAGACAACTCAATGTAACACTCTTTATTTGGATGGTCCGTATATGTTGCACTTGTTTAACATAGTGGTTGAACATGTGCAGTGTAGTAACTCTAGCCTTCAAAATAGCACAAACCAGATGCTGATTATCCATTATCCTGTGTTATGAGAATTTCTCATCTTTGCAGTTTTTTTGTTCCTTCTTGATTAAATGTGTGTGTTCTGCAGTCTGCTACTTTGTGTTTAAACAGGTGCCCTTAACAGATAATTGGAACAATGTAAACTCTTTGAAATTTAAATGCGTTTTCTTGTAAATATTTTACCTTGCAGCTGCTATACATAATTCTAAGAAGCACACATTTTCACTTGACATTGTCTCTCGCCTTGAAACAGAGCACTAAGTAAAATATGTCAACAATGTGACACTGTCAGTCTGCTGCTTTTCGTCTTGAACTCAGCTGAGGTCTAAATTTACTGCGTGAGGATTAACAGTTTCAAAGCTTGGCCCATTTCAGCACCTGCTTACTTCAGTCCATTTGAGAACTGCATTACTACAGTAGTGCTAGCTCTTTAGTGGAGTGTTTTACCACTACGTTTTCAAAGAGAAGTAGAGAAGCTAAACCGACAACTGCCAAGGTTCACTGAGATATAGCTGTCACTGTCACTGTAGCTGAACTTTGGTTGTTAAAATGAAGGCTGTGACACATCAGACAGAAGTGCTTCCTAGACCGAATAGTTTCAGATTCAACCAAAAGTGAAGTAAAACCATCCACAACTTCACCCACACAGCCAGGCAGAAACTCATCCTTCTAAAAGGAATAATAAGCATAATAATTCTTTATGTGTCTGGAGAGGATTCTTTGACTGTTGAGTATTTTAGAAACTGCTGACCTAAGGGGATTTTCCCACCATCTGTAGGGTTTACAGAGTGGTCCAAAAAAGAAAGAATATCCTGTGAGCAGTAGTTCTGCCAGCAAAACTGTCTTACTGAGGAGACTGCTTTGAGCTGATAGGAGAGTAACAGTAACTCAAATAACCATTCATTACAAAAGAAGATGCTCTTCTGCATGTAGTATACTGAACCTAAAAGAAGATCGGCTATAGTGGAAGAAGACCACACTGTGACTCTTAGCAGGGCAACGTGCCATGTCACGAAGCTCATATAAAAAAAAGCTTATATCATCTTAGCCTGGTTTCCTGATAGTGACAGTGGGTTACTTGTACTCAAATTGTCTCCACAGTGACCAGATCATCAATCCAGATTCACATCATAGAAGTGCAGCCAACAAATCCACGGCAACTGTGTGATGCTATCCTGTCAATATCGACCAAAATCTTTGAGGAATGTTTCCAACACCTTCCTTGAATCCATTACATG